GAATAAAAGAAAAAATGAACTTCTTGCATTAGGGAATCCATTAAATGTAGCGAATGTAGCAATGCATCTAGATTTTTCGCTTACACTTCACCTAATTAGTGTTGCTTAACTTGCACTTTTTTTCTACTGTTTGTTGTTAAATTAGTTGCTGGAATTCTACTTAGAGTCACCCCCCCCCCTCCCAGAAAAGAAGGAGAAAAAGAAGAAAAGAGGGAAAAACGTGCTTAGAGCCTACGGAGAATTGAAAGAAAAGTTTTATGTTAGTACACAAAATAAATAAGAAATGACAAGATTTGGCTTGTTTGAGTTATATTTGCTTTTATAATGCGTTAAAAGAAGTTTTTAGTGTTTCTATTTATTTTAAGGATCTTTTTTGAAGTTTTTCGCCAAGGAAAATAAAGAAGCCACAATTTGTGTACTTTTAACTCGTAGTAAAGCTTTAATTTAAGGCCATGTAAATTACACTACTGAAGAGAATTGGTTCTTTTTGAAAATAGATAAATATTTTCAAAACCTTTTGAGAAATTTTATAAAAAAAACTATAATTTATTAAAAAAACTTTTGAAAAATTTCTATTTTGGCGATATTTTTTTCATCTGGTTGAAAGAAATGGGTCATTTTTTTAAAAAATAATCGCAGCAAAAAATGATTTCTTATTTAAGGTTAACATACTTTAGAAGAATAATCCCGAGAAATTGAAGTGGAAGGATATACTCAATGATAAAAAACTTTAGTTACCTCAAATATGAGAATGTTTTTATTTTATTTTACAACCGACGTTGAACAGCTGACCTGATTCTGTGTTTACGACTACCAACGTTCAACTCCGTATCCTTGTAATTTTAATCCAAATCCAGAAGACAAAGGATCTCCTGGATCAGTACCCCCAGAGGTTTAAATTTTTTAATGGGAACTTGGATGACTTTGTGACCCCAACAGAGATTTAACGGGGAGTCCTTGGCAGGCGGGGATCGAACCCACGACTTCTTGGACACGGGCCCAGTGCCGTACCAACCAGGCTATCCCGGCCCCCATGTGAGAATGTTTTATTTTATATTATAATATTAAACTGCCGTTGAACAGCCTAACCAATTTTTGGGTTTACGACTACTAAGGTTCTACTCCGCAGCCTTGTAATTTTGAACTCAACCCAGAAGACAAGGGAATTCCTGGATTAAGCATTGGGAGAAATTTTCCTTTGCGGAGGACTTTTTGATTTAACTAATCGGCATTTGCGTTACATGGAGAGAAAAACTCCCACGGTTAGCCTGACGGCAAGGGAACTCTAACCCAAGATCCATCTACCTGAAAAAACTAAACTAAGCTGCGCGACAGCCCATAGAGGGCCAAAGCCTACTGTGCCCATCTCATTTTTCTGGACCATGGGCTCTTGGGTGCAGGAGCAGTTGTTCCGGTCAGGTGGTCAGCCGAACGTGGAAACCCCAGTGTTTAGTTCCCAAGCATGCTTGGTACTCATTTATCGACTCACCGAAGGGATGAAAGGCTGAGTAAAACTTGCCCGGCCCGAGGATCGAGCCCAGGACCTGTGGCATGGGAGCGCAAAGCGCTTCCACTCAGCCACCGGGCATCAGATCCGTCTACCACTGAGGATATTTTACGTCAGCACTGTGGTCGGTGCGAGCCGGATGCGGATTTCGTATCGACTGGAATTCGAACCCGGTTCGCCTCATTGGAAGACGAAAGCTCTATCCCCTAAGCCATCGCGGCTGTGGTAACTGTTATGAAAAAACAAAGAGAAACATATGCAGAACCAAAAAAATAAACCTGCTCCATGCGGAATTCGTATCGACAGCCATCGTCGAGATCGAACGATTCATTTAAAAAAAATTTTAAAGTTTTTTTTTATAACCGTTGTTGAACAACCGACCCACTTTTTGGGTTTACTATCACTAATGTTCAACTCCTTAGCCTTGTAATTTTGAATCCAATCCAGAAGACAAGAGAACTCCTGGATCAAATATTGGAGAAATTTTGCTTTTGTGGAGGACTTTTTGGTAGACCTAACCCGTTGCGTTACATGGAGAAGAAGACCACGAGAATTTCCCACGGTTAGCCTGATGGCAAAGGGACACTAACCCATGGTCCGTTTACCACTGAGGATATTTCACGTCAGCACTGTGATCGGCGCAAGTCGGGTGCGAATTCGTATCAACCAGCCATCGCAGGCATTCAAACCCGGTTCACGTCATTGGAAAGCGAACCCTCAATCCCCTGAGCCATCGTGGCTCATATGAGAATGTTTATGAAAGTCGATAAGTTTACAAATTTTAAAGAACGTTTGGTTTATCTGATGTAGCCAATGTTGGTTGCATCAGACAACCCTTTAAAATTTTGACTTCAGAAACACCATAGATATGTCTATCATCAAGAATTGGATAAATCTTTTATCACCGCACATTGACGGTATCTTGAGCATAAATTCGATTTTGATAATGCGAAAATACATGCGACCCCCGTTACATCAACTTAATTTGCAGCGCATAAATATTTCAATCATTCATATGAATAGCAATTCCTTTGTTAACGATACTGATTCCTCATTATCTTTCCATAGCGTGTGGATATATATTTCATCTCGATTTAGACATAAAAATAACCACTCGTCACACGCCATATGGCGAGTCAACAACAAAATAAAATTAAAAAAAATAAAAAAAAAAAAAGCTGCCACTTAAATTAAAAAAGCAGCCAGTCACATTTCTCAGTTTTTTTTTTTTTTTTTGAAGATTATTTATTTATAAAAGTACATCGCTGCAGAAAGACTCTAGGAATAGTAGAAATAAGAAGAAAAAAAAATTTCTTACGGCAGGCACTGATTCGAACCCGCAACCGCTGGCTTCACATACATGCACGCTGATCGCTGCGCCACCTGTCCAACGAATAAAGACTAGTAAAATTATCATTAAAATGTCCAATGTCTGCATTCAAAATTTTTATCCTTCCTGATTTATCAATATGTGGTGAATATTTAAATAATAAATATTTTTAAATAAAGTTCTTTAAAATCAGTATGTTGAACTAAATTTTGAAACATATTCATACTATTTTTATTGTTAAATTAATTTTTTATAACTGCAGATTTTATCTATATCGCTCACCGACTTAAGGAAAAAAGTGACTACTAAGTTATTACAGTCCACCGGCCACAAACTGAAAATTAACATTTTTAGTTCTACCTCGGATTCGCTACTCTCAGCAGAAAATTATCAAGCGCTATTTTTCTAAATCTAATAAAAAGATCTCTTTAAATTCTACCTTTTTTTTAAAAGAATTTAGCCAGAACAAATGAAACACTAGGAAATATAAATGTGTATAACATTGTTCAGTTTTTTTGAAAACTGTTCCCTAGGAGTTGGTTTGCAGACGAGTGGAAAGGCGCGAGTTACTGATAAGGACAATATATTGGACATGGTCAAACCCCCTGCTGTTGCCTGGTACAAACAAACTTTTTTTTAAAAAAAGAAAAAAAATCAAGTTTTCAAATTAAATTGAGAACATACTTAATTATAATAATGTAATAATTAATAACATACAATAATTAATAATAACACAACATAAATAGTAAAAGAATTAAAAACGATAAAATTATAGACCTCTAAATTTGCAAACACCGGCTCTGGTGAAAAACTCTTGTAAGATCCTTCTTAGCAGAAAAACTCAAATATTTGTGACCATACATAGTGAGTTAGAAGCTTTCTGAGAGCCAAAAGACAAAGATAAGTCGATCACTTTTCCTGAAAGAGTGTTTGATTTCCAGCATTTCTGTGATTGAAGTTGCTTACGAAACAACGATTCTGCGGTTTCCAAGTTTATTTTTGTTAATTTTACTCCCAGCTATAGCATTTCCCATAAGTTTTTCCCCAGAGGCAATTTACAGTAGAAAATATCTGGTGGTTTAAATTACGCATATTGACAGCGTAACTTTGGCCACCTAATTTTTGAACTTTTAATGAAAGAGAAGGAATAAAAATAATACTGAAACATCATAATTCAATTAAATAAACGCTCTCCTAAACTTTGATTTTATTTTCCTCTTTCTAACTAATACAGTAGTGAGTAGTACATAGTTTTCATTAAAAATTTAAAATTGAGTAAAGTAACCCCAGTATAATGTTTGGAGAGAGTTATTATCTACCATGTCAACCTTCATCTATCAAAAGATACCTCTAATTAAAATCAAGTTAACATGTCTTATATACTAGGGGTGTGGTATTTAATATTTATAGTGGTAGTTACGCCACATTACTCCCTTTCCAGAATTTTATCAGTGATAGAATTCTATAAATGAATATCACTAGTTGATTTTATTTTAATTTCATTTTTGCTTATTATATATATATTTTTCTTTTCGTTTATTTATATAATTTCGCTCATTATTTTTTTTCCTTCATTTTTGTTTATTGGCCGGGAAACTTGTAATTACATAACCGGAATATTTTGTTTTGTTTTTGAGAGCTATATTTTAAGCACATCAACTGTTTAAATGTGGACCATCCGTCGATGTTGGCGAGATCATATCACGTCCGCAGGTTAGGTACCATTGAAGGGAATTAATTATCGACAATGTCAAAATTCACCTATCAAGAGGTACCTTCTGATAGATGAAGGTTGATATGGTTGATAATTATCTCCCCCATGTCTTATACACTAGGGGATTGGTATTTAATATTTATAGTGGTAGTTATGCCACAAATGTTGTACAACTTTTTAGACTGGGTCTCATTTCAGAAAAACTCAACTACAACCCATATATAAGTTCACAAATTACGTATAAAAAGAATATATTAGAATTTCCGAAATCCTTTAATTTATCGAAATAAAAAAAGACGTTGCAGCTGATATGTCACCACTTTCTAAGATAATTAGTTCTTTGGTAAATGGTGCCATTTTCAAGAAAATGTTGTAACAGATACAACGTCAATTGGCTTGAAATGGGCATAATTTTGTGAACCAAAGGAAGAAAAAAAAAATACTGGACATTTTTTTTTTCATTACAAAACTTTATTGCAATAAGCCAAACTAGTACAAAATTTGTGAGTTTTTACAGATGTATTTCAAGTCATAAAATTTATCACATATATGTAATGCATATGAAACCTTTCTAAAGGCTTTAAACAAGTATTTCATTTTAATATGACAGGGTGCGTAGCCAAATTATTCAACAAAAAATAAGCACTTTTCAAGCACTCAAAAAATATTTTTAAGCACTTTAAAAAAATATAATTAGGCAGGGTTGGAAAGCTTTTGACAATTGACGGTTTTGTCTTGTTTTAACCGACATGTCAAAGAACCCTTTGGCATTCTTTTTGACAATTGTCAAAAATCATGAAATTTTAAATCATGTAAAACGAATGGCGTTTTCATACACTGTGGACTGACAATACGCTGAAATAGATAGGGGTTGAATTAATTGAGAAAACGTTGAATAGAACAATGTGAACTGAGTCTTTTTGTATAATTCGAAGTGAAAATCAACATAGTAAAGAAAAAATTAAGCACTTTTTAAAAACACTCAATCAAAAAAGCACCTTTAAGGGCTTTTAAAAAACGAAATTCCAAAATAAGTACCTTTAAGCACTTTTTAAAAACGCCACGCACCCTGTATGAATATAAATATTTTCAATAATAATAATGAATATTTTTACATAAACATCACAGACTAAGTAATTATTCAGATATTTTATTTGATACTGTCAATGAAATTTATTAAATATAAATAATCAAAAATTCAATTTCAAGTCATACGTCTAATAATTAAGAAAGCATACGAGTTTTTACAGATGTCTTTCAAGTCATAAAATTTTACAGATGTATTTCAAGTCATAAAATTTATAACCTATATGCAATGCGTTTGAAACCCTTCTAAAAGCTTCAAACAAGCTTTTCATTTTAATATAAATATTTTTGATAATAATAATAATGAAAATTTTTACTAAACATCACAGACTGAGTAATTATTTAGACATTTTGTTTGATACCATCAATGAAATTCATTAAATATAAATAATCTAAAATTCAATTTCAAGTCATACTTCTAAGAATTAAGAAAGCATAAGTCAAATCCTTAATATACACAATGAGAGGGGAGAAAACGATATCACTCAGAATAACTTTTGTTCTAATGAATGCATTTTCACATACTAAGCTTCAATCATAATGATTCAAAAGATTTCAAATATGGTTAAACCCATAAACGCGTGAATTTTTTATATGCTCTGCCACAAAAAAAGTTCCTATTAAAGAAGTGATTTTTTTTAACTAAATGAATATTTTCTTCTGTTAAATACTTTTTGATTTTTTCAACTGATTTGAATTCTAATTGAACTTGGGGGTACCCACAGTCTGGAAAATTAGGTCCCACCAGTTAAATTAGGAGATCAGTCAGAAGTTTAGGCACCTTAATACTTAATACCAGTTTCAATTTTCGAACATATTTGTAAAAGTCAGTGATCGATGCAAAATGGTTTTAGAATTACCATTTTTTGCATTTTATATTGATCAGAAAATTTTTAAATTGCAATAGTTAGTAAAAATAAAAATACAAAGTTAGTAAAAATATCGATCAAATAGTTTCTGAGTTAGAATTTTTTTTTTATAAGTCATATTCTTTTATTTTTCACAATGTAGTGTTGAAAAAAAGCAGTTTAATTAGACATCTAATATCAACCACTTCATGATAAATCATCAGAAAATCAAACGTTCAAATGTAAAATCTCATTTCTTGTAATTCATTAAACACATCAGACCAATAATTGAAGACTAGAGTAATTTTTCTTTTCAGTATACCTCTTTATTAATAAATACTTCATAACAATAGATTATCTAATAATTATGATTTCCTAACAAAGTCAAAGTGTCCAATAAGAGTGTTATAATTAGTGTTCTACATACCTCGAAATTTAATAAAGGGATTTAATACCTACCCACAATGCTTATATTATTTTTAGTTACAATGAAAATAAAATCTATGAGCTATGAAATAAAACAGGTTTATAAGCTGTAATATAATTTTAAAAGGAAGAGAATATAATATAGAAAAGAAATTACAATAAACAATTTTTACAAAATATGGCACATGAAAAAGAAAGCAAACATAAATAAGAAAAAACAAGCTAAGATATAACTAAAAAAATTTTGTAATCAAAATCGAAATGAGTTTCTCCAAAATAAAAATTTAAATATAACTTTAAAGGAATACTACTTGCAAAATATTTTACATGATGTCAAACTTGCTCCAATGTGTCACAAAGCAAATTTGTATTTCTGGCCCAAATGTGCAGAGACAAAAGAAAAAAAAATATTCTTAAGTTTTAATTACTAAACCGATTTAATGTTATTTATTAAAGAAATATAATAAAATTATAAATATTGACCATCTTTTAAAATGAACATTGCTAATTGTGTGAATATTGGTGAACAGAATGATATATATATCAATAAAAAATAAATGATATATTGGATACATTGATATGGATATTAAGTCTGATCAGTTATATTATTGGTGTAACTGTTTAACAGGTAAAATATATCACACAATTTGACACTTTCAACATGAGTGTTCACAAGTTGTTAAGCAAGTACTGCATTACAGTAAAATTATGCGGAACCAAATCAAATCATTTGTATCAATCAGTCAAATTTACGATGGGTGTATAAATAAACATTTACATAGCAACAAACTTAAATTTATAATTAAAAATTCATTATTTTTAACATGTTTTGTCAACATAATTCAGCAAATTAAATAAAAATGATATAATTAGTCTAACTATATAATTAGTCCTAAATATAAACTATGTAAAGTAGTCAGAAGGTCTTCAAAGTCATCTATAAAATAGATTAATAAAAAAATAAATTAACAAGCTTCAAAATTTTACAATTACAAAACAGCATACAATAAATAAAAATTTCATGCATATTAAAAACCATATTTTTTACAATAGTCTAACTATATAATAAGTCCTAAAAAAAAACTATATAAAGTAGTCAAAAGGTTTTCAAAATAGTCGCCTGTAAAATAAGATTAATTAAAAAATAAATTAACAAGCCTCAAAATATTACAATTAGAAACAGCATACGATAAATAAAAATTCCATGCATATTAAAAACAATGTTTTTTTTCTATTTCGTCAGATGTAAAAAAGTTCAGAAGTCATAAAAATTAAAAGATTTGAAAAATACACAAAACATACATATAGATAATTTTTAAACACTATACAGGTCAAATAACTTTCAACATAATTTTACAACACAAAGTAAACTCCATGCATAATAACTTTAAAATAAATAGTATTGCCCACGTTTAAGAGATAATGTTTGTCGATATATTTCATATGCTGCTTACACAAAGTATTCTTTAATCACAGTCCTTCATATATATTTTTAAAGTTTTTACTAAAAACAAAATAAAATAGCAATACTGGAGTTCACAAAATTGATGTAAATAAATGAGAAGAAAAAAATATTATTAAAGCTTGTGCGAACCAGAATTGTGGAAGATGAGATTAAAAACATCAAGCACATTTGATCATTGGAGGGAAAATGTCATAGTAAAAAAGTTAAAAGAGATTTGAATAAATACATATTGCACAATAAAGACAAAATGGATAAAAAGAAAAAGAGAGAAAAACGTAGAAAATTAACTAATATATGTATCAAATGAAAGTATATATTTTTTTTAATGAACTGAAAGTCCCAGATAGTTTTTTTTTTTATTCAAACTATTATCAGCAAAAATATACAAAATAAATAGATTCGTGTAGTCAAATCATTAAAGAACTGATACATAACTTTTTTTAGAAAAAATAAAGTAATTAATATTTAAAATACAGAAAGGAAGTTAAATTAATTATATTTTAAATACTTTCAGAATTTAAATTCATTTGGATATTGGAATTTCCAAGAATATATATATGCTTTTAAAAATATTTCTATAAATTTTTCATTTTAAGAACTGCTATGCATGTACCAGCTAAATCCCTCACTTGGGTCAGTCAGGATGAATATTTATGCTGAAATGTTTACTTTTACCATATATTTTTAACCCTATACATTTGTGTAGGAAGTAAAAACTCTTCTGGAGTACTGCCAGGTTCACTGTTTTCTTCAAAAATATCAGGAGAATTTGATCGATTATCAAGTTTCGGATTCTTAGGGGATAAAAGATTACTTCCCTCATCTGATTTTCGTTTTTTCCAAACACATGAAGATGCATTAGATGACTTGGTTGATGTCAGATCACAGACATTAAATTTTGGGGCAATAAGACTAGGACTATCATCCAAAACTTCTACATCGCTGCCATCAGTTTCTAAATCTATTCTAGAATGAGATTTCACAGCAATATGAGACTTTCCAGGTCTGTGCGTGTGCCACTTATGCTGCCCACACCTCAATCTTGATTCCTCTCCATCACAATCTTCATCAGAAGATAAATCAATGATTTGAATAACTGGATTTTCTTTTGGGAATGATGAAATGTCATTCAAACATATAACCTCAGAGCTATTATCAGTGCAATTAGAGGATCGCCTTTTCTTTTTAAAATTAGGACCAAAAATGGTGTCATGCTTTCTTGAAAGATAGTATTCATCCACTTGATGTTGTTTGCAAACAACATCAGGGCTTTGCAATTTACAAGAATTAGTCCCGGAAGAAAATCTTAAACTGGAATTATAAAGTACTTGTTCTGGAACATTTTGAAAGTTCTGAGTTGAAGGTATTTCATCACCACTAGATAAATTCAATGAATTTACAACCTGGTTACAATTAGTAGACTGTACGGTTTGGAAATCTATTTTTTCAATAAATGAGGACTTTAAATTGTGAACTTCAGTTTTCTTTAATAAATCTGAGATTTTTTCCTTTTTATTTGGGGAAGTTTTTACAGAGTCAAAATTTTTCACATCAATAATGACCACTTCTTCATTCAATTCACTATTAAATTTGGGATTTAGTTCAGATTTATCATTGTTCACATTGTGCAAATGACAAGAAAACTCATAAGAAGTATTTTGATTTAATGCTTCATTTAGTCCATTTATTAGTTTGATATCACTAGAACTTGAAACAAATTTTTGAGAAGAACTTTCAGTTAATGAATTGGGAGGCTTACTTTTAGCTTTGTTTGAAACGGAGAATAACTTTAGAGATTCTTTTTCACTAATTTCATCGAGTAGCTGAATTTCATCGTCATCTGAGCTTATCTTAAAATTAGGAGCCAAATTTTTATTCAATGTGTTAGACAGTTTACTTTTATCTGTATTTGGAAGTCGTTTAGGATAAAAATTATTATTAAATGTGTCAGTTGACGTAAGTGGATTCTCGGGACTTTTCTTTTTTAAGTATTTAGTTTGATCAGAGTTACTAGGAATTTTTATAATACAGTTTTCAGAACCCTGCACTGAACTTGGAATATCTCTTTTTAATTTTGAACAACTAGGGGTAGTTTCAGCATTATCTGCATTTATAGCATCAATTAATAAGTCCAGTTCCTCTTTTGCAGATCGAGCAGATTTCTGAGAATCATTTTGACTTTTACTAGAAAAATGGATAACTGCAACGTCTGTTTCAATATCCAATGAAAGTTTATAATCACGCCAGGAATTGCTTTGTTCCAATCGGTCAGAATCATTAGAATCTGAGTTGTATATCGAAAATAATAAATCTGAAATAGTATTTGGGATTGCGTCAGGTTTGGTTCTTGAAAATGGTTGATCAACAATGCTAATGGATCTCTTTTGTTCACTATGTTTAAAACTAGTTTTAGATTCTAATTTTTCAACAGTAGTTTCTTTAGAGTCACATAGTTTTGAACTACTTTTAGACTCTAAGCTAAGTTCAGATTTTGTCTTAGTGCTATTATCTAGGTCCAAAGTCTTTAAACATGCTTTTACAGCAGGGTCAACTACATTATTGATTTCGCCATGCTCAGGCTTTTGATTTAGGTCACCACTATTTTTTATTTCAGAATTCTTTGTTTGATAATGTCCTAAATCATTTGAAACATCAGAGTGATGAGTCTTTTGCCTTAATTCCTCTTTGCTCTTTTCACAATTCTGTATCTGACATTCATTGATTCTATTCTGAAGTTCATTGTGGTATAACCTGTGATTTAAATTTTCTCTGTTCAGAAGTATAGAATTCCAGGTCTGATTACAGCCTGGAACGCATGAAATGTCACTGTGTTGAAACATCACAGCTCTGCCAGGTTTTGATTTAGAATTTCGTATCGGATTGCACTCTGACACAGTTAAAATTTCACTTAATTGGAAACTCTGCTCTGAAATCTCATCTTTTTCAGTTTGTATGTTTTGTGTCTCATTACACTTAGACGTATTTGAGATGTCACTGATTCGAAGCTTCTGATTTGAAATAATACTGCTGTCAGCTTTATAATTTTGCATTTGACTGTAATCAGATGCCTCTAAAATGACACTGTGTTGAAGTTTCTGCTTTGAAGATGCACTGTTTTCAGCTTTAGAATTCTGTACCCGACCGCACTCTGAATTACTAGACACACCATTATCTAAGCAGGCAGGTAAAGGTAATTGTGAGCATATTTTCCCTTCAGTTTCCATGGTTGGATGCATAGTTAGTTCACAAATAATATTAGACTGACAGTCAGAAAAACTAACGTCTAAATGTGCGTTACTTTGGCTATTTTTCTCAGATATCATTTCACCGAAAACTTTATTTTGAAAGACTGAAACAGGAGATAATTCTGACTTATTCTGATCTTTCCTGAAACAAGCAGCTGCTGAATCATCAATATTTCCATCCGAAATAATAGTAAGATTTCTTGAATGAGTTCTTTCTAGAGATTTATTATAAATTAATTTTACATATTGTTCCTGTGAGCTTGAATTAATGCTTTCAGAGTCAGATTTGTCTTTGGTACTGCTAAATGAAGAATTGGGATCCAAATTCTCATCATCTGATGAAAAGGATGGGAAATTCCATTTTAATGGGGAGGAACTAGAAATAGTTTGTTTGCTGGTTATTGTTACTAAATTAGAATTATGTTGTTCACTGGATTGATTGAACGTTTCACATTGGATGGATTGATGATTCTTTGAAGAGTTTTGTGTTTTTTTAGAATCGAACTGCATCTCTGGAAGCCCTTTCTTTGGTAAAAAAATGTCCTCTTTGTTTAGATTCTCAGGAATTTTATAACACTCATCATAAAAATGAATGCTGTCAGTATTATTAATAGGATCTGCACCTAATGAAGAAAATGGAAAATTAATTTTTGTCAAATAAAAAGTTATTTAATTTACAGGTAAGATATACAAAACATCTGGTTCATGTAGGTCAAATATTAAAATCCTAAATAAAAATTCATATACAAGTTCATATACATGCTTAAAGAATATCTGTAATTTCAAAAAAGAACTAGAATGGTAGAAAAGAATAAATTGCAAATAAATATAAGGCAGTTGTATTTTGTTTGAAGGTATGTACAATTATTTAGGCAAGCAATTTTAAAGACCGTTATTACATTACAATTTGCTAAAAGAAAAGAGACAGGATTAGGATATTTGCACAATATAAAATTTAGGCAAAATTTACAATTGTATCATCAATGCACTAAATAAATTTTCTAAAGCATAATTCTAATATGGAAAATAATAATAATAAAGTAAATAATGATAGAAAATTTTCCCTAGCACTAAAACTGAAAAAACATTTTGTTTAGGAGATTTGTCCATTAACGGGGGAGTACACTAGCGACAATGGCTAACACTATAAAATGCTTTTAGAATAATTGCAATGATGTAAAAGTGCTTATATAATCCATAATAATTATTTACATTGATACTTATTTAATCTTAACAAAACTATAATATTTACAATATAAAAATAATAGGTGAAAAAATTTGATATACATATGCTATGGGGGTAGTAGTTATCGACAATGTTAACTTTCATCTATGAAATGGTACCCCAACATAGAATCGAGTTAACAAGTTTTATATACTAGAGAATTGGAATTGTATTTTTGTAGGGGTAGCTACACTACAGTACTCCCCCACCAAAATTTTATCTGCGATAGAATTCGATGAATAGGATACCATTAGTTGATTCATTGCTGTTTTGTGAGAAGATGGGAGAGCTGTATTAAGATCATTGTACTTTTTTAGTGCTGATCGCGAGAGCTGTATCAAGTTCATGGTCGTTCCTGTGTTGCCAATAGCAGTCGAATGTATACGTTGTGTGTGATCGAGACTGAGAAGCAACAGCGTGAGGAGAACAATGTTGCAGTCACAACTAGCAAGTCAACTGTTCAATGTGGACCATCCATCGAAGTAGGATGTGTTCAAATCATAATGGGAGTTTCTGCAAGGTAGGCGTGTTCGCATCACACCCGAAGGTCACTAGTGTGGAGCTAGTGGTAATCGACAATGTCAACTTTCATCTATGAAAAGGTACCCCAACATAGAATCAAGTTAACATGTCTTATATACTAGGGAATTGTAATTTTTGTAGGGGTAGGTACACTACACATGCTTTTGTTTTATATTTAACCAGTTAAAAAGGAAATGTGATAGAAATTTGTTTTAAGCAGTTGCAATTTACCATATCTTCATGGTAAATTTCTAAATCATTTAGTCTTTTACACCAATTTCATCAGTTTTGGATAAATAAAAATTTCTCAGTCAAAGTTTTCACTTTTCAGGAAGCATTAATTCAGTAGCAGTTCCTACATTATCCCTCACATCATTATTTATGCACATTTCAACTATGCTGTTCACATGTAAATCATGCTTTTGGCATTCAACATTCTCTTCAATGTTTACAAAATCATCATTGATAACACTTCCTTGATGGTAAACCTTCTGTGATACAAAGAAAAGAAGAACATGGCAATGCCTGCTTGTAAGGCATCAGCCCTTATGAAATTCAAAATCAATCATTTGCTAGGAGTCTGAATAAATGTTTCATTTATATAAACTCCTCGATGACTAGATTTCTGTTTTTTTTTCTTTAATCCAACTGTGTTAAGGGCATAAATAAAATTGATTAACAGGTGAAAAGAATTTTCAGTGAGGAAGGGGAATTGAGAACATTTAAAGCTGTGTCATTTCAACTTGTAACCTGTATTGTTCAGATGAAAAGATGGGAAAATGCCAATGTCCGAAATATTTCACATGAGCAGCAGCATTTTCTCCCCTTTCTGTACAAAGATAAAGGAAGAAGACAATAGTATATGTACTGTTGAATTATCTTCACAGTAGTACTTTCATTTTCCTTTTTTTGTCAATAGGTGGCAGCATGAACATATTTAAAAATATGGTGATTAATCAAAGTAATAGTGAGAAAATTTTTTTTAAAATTATATTATTATTTCAAATTAAATGTGTGAGTGATTCATTCCTTAGCAGTGAAATAGCTTGATAATATTTTAAGTTGAGGATAAGCAAAAACATTTACATACTTTTAAAAATGGTGTAAAGAGATGCATGTTTTTTTTTTTAAAGTAGAAATAGTTTTTATTTTTCAAACTTAGAAAAAATGGTGCCTGATTTGAAGAGACTGAAAATACATTTCAGGCTCTAAATGACTCCTCGTGTCCGGTTACGGGAGTGTCCCCTTTGCAGAGAGTGCATATAATGGTTTATTCAAAGAAGATTTCTTTTTAAAAAATTCCCTTAATGAGAAACATCCATAATATGACGTTACAAATGACAATAAAAACTGTGTAATTAAAAATACATTGAAATAATGAAAGCAGAAAAAAATTGAAATAAAAATATTATGAATTATTGTTTTTGTCTTACAACATAAAACTACTGAAATAAAGAAAAACAAACAAAATATCATTTACTATAATAATTTGGGTAATTCTGAAAATTACACCATTTGCGAACATTTCTGTTTTAAAGAAAATCAACAATATGAAAACAACAATGAAATATGAAAAGATAGGGCGCTGAATAGTTTTAAGATACCTAAAGTAGTAAAACAAAAATGTATACCTTCAGCAAGACTTTTCAGAGGACCCAAAGGCGATATGTTCTGTTCCGAGTCGCTATCACTAGACTCTGAAGAGAGAGGAGCTTGCAGCAAATGTAAGATCTAAAGGAAATTGAAATACAATTTTTGAAGGATTCAGACAATTGAAACAACAAAAAGGAATGTTCGGAATTATAATTGCTGCCTATGTTACATATAAGGTTAATTCAAAGAAGTCAAAATACAAATTACGAAAGATTTAGATAATTGAAACAACAAAAAAGAATTTATCTTATCATTATCATAGATTTTTCTTTATAAGTATATCTTTGAAGTAGATAATTTCCTGATGAAATTATTAAACTTCGAAACATACAAAATATGAAAGTATTACATTGAATTAAAAGATGCATAACTGATTAATAAGCTAAAAAAAATACAGAAAATATTATCTGGGAAAATGTGTTTATTTCATGAAATGTAATTTTTATTGGATAAATAATGTTAAGATTAATTCTAAAAAAATAAGTAGGGAAAAAAACCTGAAAAAAAGTATATGCAATGCAAATGCAACTAAAATCTGAAAAATAAAGTTTTAATTACACACCAAAAACGCCATTAAAAGTTATTTAAAATTATAATTAAAATTTTCCTGTGAAGTATAACTTTTTGATTTATTAACACCAGGAAAACTAGTCTTTCTTGTAGAATAGCCTGCAGCTTAATGCAAAATGCTCAGGGGACAGGTCAAGTGTAACTATAACTATTTATATAATTATGCAAGTTTAAAATTAACTGATTTGAGTTCCAATGAAGTTAATAGTACTTTAAGTTTGGCGCAGATCTATATCAGGGTGCGTAGCTAAATGTTTCAATAAAAAATAAGCACCTTTTAAGTACATTTTAAGCACTAAAAAAATATTTGTAAGCACTATATATATTAACAAAATGCAAAATAATTTGCAAATACTTTACATGAGGATGATAAAATAACTAGTTTCTGACAAAGAACTTTTTTTATTATATTAGCCATTTAAAATGATCGAGATATTTTTCGATTTGATATCAGAGGGTGGAAAATAAAGTCTGAAATTGTGAATATCTTGCAAAATGCAGCAGAGTTGCACATGAGACAGCAAGTATTTCAATAAACATGTAAAATGATTAACGCTTTCATACGCTACCGACCAATGGGAAGCCGAAATGAATTGTGGTTGAAAGGTTTGTGAAAACCATTCAACCACAGGATAGAACAATGTGAATAGAACAAGTTGAATAGAACAATGTGAAAAGCACGCTTTTGCATAATACATGGCGAAAATAGACACGGTAAAGGAAAAAAATCTTTTCGAAATTAGAAAATTAAGCATTTTTTAAAAACACCCATGAAAAAAGCATCTTTAAGGGCTTTTAAAAAACGAAAATCAAAAATAAGCATCTTTAAGCACTTTTCAAAACGCTACAGATGTATATAATGTAATTCTATAAGCAACAATTCACCAATATTAACTCTCAAAAAGTCTTGATGAAGCAACAAAAATCAATACATATGTTGGATTTTACTTCCAATGCATTTAATAATTTACATTAGAACATATCTCTGCTTTTTAAAGTATTAATATTTAAAAATTAATTTTAAGCATTAATATTGTTCTGTTTCATTGCTATATTGCCATGTTTACTAAGCACGTATGAGAATGTGTGAAATATAAAACACAAAGTTCAACATAATGCAAAACCAAAGACTTTAACAACATATAATTCAGTTTTATAAAAATCAAGCATTTCTTGTAGCTTTCATTAAAATAACTTCTAAAATCACTTACAATTCTCCAGTTTTTGGCAACTTTCATATGTTCATTTTTCTAAAAGAGTTATTTTAACAAAAACTTTTGAAATAGCTTGATTTTTTTTTAACTGTGTATTTTTAAAATCTTAAAATGCAACATTTATAAATGATGGAAATAACGGATCACTATATATTATAAATTTGATATATATTTTATAAAACTTTCAACTTAAATATATAGCTTTTTTTATAGATCAAAAAGTTATTTAAGGTATGTTATTTTGTACCAAACCTGTATTCATTAACTAAAAAAATGTTTAAAGAGCTACCTCAATTCCTAAAGGGAAAATTTTTTGTATCGTTTTTAAACAAAAACATACAAAGTAGAGTTTGAATTCAAATAGAATTTAAAATTCTAAAATTAACATAAATTTAATTTCATTTACTTATTAAGATATGTTATTAATAAAAATTTCTTTTATATTTTGAAAGTGTTAAAAAAATATAAATAAATTTAATGGTATATTTCGAATGCATAAAACTTTTATATATAGATTGCCTAAATTCATGCAAAATTAAGGAAAGAAATTGTATTAATAAAATTACCAAATGGAAAGAAAAAAAGAGAAATACCATCATGAAATAAATATTTCAGCCTGCTTTAGGATAATAAAAAGTTTGCACACAGCTTTTTAAAATTAAAAACTTGAATTTTGTCCCTTTTCAAAGCTTTACTTTAAATCAAAGAACAAAAAAAAAAGAAGAAAAAGAGGAAAAAAAAAGACACCGACTTAGAGTTAAACTGAAAGTAAAGAATTTGGGAATGCATACAAGTTTTTCAGGAAGTTTAATAAAATAACATAGAACATATAACATAGATAGAAATAACATATATAGAATAACATAATATGTAATATAGAATATTCCAAAGATTAACTCCATTTCTTTCAGCATAAATAAAATTTATTGCAGTTAATTTAGAATATTTTATTTGTTTATTCAATTACAAAATACCAGCATTACAAAATAGTAGCATGACATAGTTAGCGTTTTAATTTGCTGCTCAACAAAAAAGTAACAAAAGAAACAAGAGATCTTTTTCATAAAAGTGATTTAATTCAGTTAAAATACCAAAATTTATAAACCTGGAAAAAAATTAGATTTTAAAAATGCTTAAAAGTTTTTTTGACTTCTAAATAAAAGATTTTAGAGATAAGAGAAAGACCTTTTCTACTTTCACATGCAGTTTTTTAATGTAAAAACAAAAAACTTTTTACTTTAAAAATAACTAAATTCAGTAAAATTGCTAGAGAATTACAAGCCTGAAATAAGAAAGGATTTTTGATTTTAAAGTGCTTACAAGTTTTTCAGGCTGGTTAACAACATTGGGAAAAACTTTCTTTGGTTTCAGGTACTGTACCATGTCTCTTTGTTCAGTCAATGAAGAATGAGTAGAATAGCAAACGCGGTACATCTGCTTCACAGCATCATAATGAGCAATGTTTGAACTTTCGCCCTTACTAAAAAACATGGCACTTGGCTTGATCTTTCTGACTTTAATCTATAGGAAACAAAAATACAATAGAAAATACAGAAGCAAACAGAATCATGTGAAAACATTGAAGCAATATTACAATTAGCTACAATTTCAAAATAATCAGAAGAGCAATTTTGGTTAAAAACATCTCAGTGTACAAGATGGCAATAAGAATTTTGTATGTATTGTGCTATTATCAAATAAAAACTTGTCTAGTATCTACCAAGAAAAATATTAAATAATAGCTTTATGTAAAAGTGTCATCACAGGAAAAGAGTGGTGAATCATTATACAGGGTGCATCAAAAAAAAAATGCAGACAGATAATTTTTAATACAGCTTGATTAAAACAATAAAAATTAACAAAATATAAGAAATAATAAGAGTAAACTTTCATTAATAAATTTAATTGTTTTTAAAGTGTCTATTTTTTACAGCAATGCAAAGGCTCAAATGCTTATTGAAATTTTAAGCAATTGCTGCAAGTTTTCTACCTTAAATTCTCATTCCTGCCAAAGCAATTGCTTTAAAGAGTCAAAACTTTTCTGTGGTTCAGTGTAGGCTATAGACTCCAAAATGGACCATACACAGTAATCTAGGAAATTTAGATCTCGAGAGAAGGGTGGCCATTCTTTAGATGATATGTCTGAAAAATGCACCTTGTACCACTCACTCTTGTGTCTTTTTGGTTTTGTGAGCTGGTGTAGTCTATTGAAATGATTAGTTTACATTGCTGAAATGCTTTTTGACACACAGAAATACAACAGCTTCTAAAATGTCCTGCTGGTACACTTTTGGATTTATTTTAACACCCTTATCCACAAAATCCTGAGGTGATTTGTCACTAGTGCAAATTTCGCCCCAGATCATGACCGACTTTGAATTTTGGAGACGTTCAACAATTGCCAAGGTGCTTGAAGCATCTACAAAGCATATCATATTGTTCAGAAAGTTATGTGCTTGTCAGACAGTAAAGAGCTTCTCATCAGTTAAAGGAATCTCTCCTTGTTCTCTATAGCTGAAAATTTCAATAAGTGTTTGTGCATTGCTGCTTTTTGCAGCAAAAAGGCAACCACTTTGAAACCAATTAAATTTACTTATTAGTAATAGTCTACACTTATTATTATTTGTCTAGGCTTCTTTTACTGCACACTGTATTGCTCAATTGCTATATTGCACCCTGAATTGACCATATACTACTTAAAACAAATTCAAAGTTAATAGCTTCATGTTCTCAAGCTCATGATAGGATTTCAAGAAAAGTTTTGGAACTATACAGGCTTAGATATACAGTTTATGAAAGTAAAAAAATATTTTACATCAAAAATTATTTTTAATTAAAAAAAATAATTAAAATTATTTTAAAATTAATAATTACTTTAATCAATAAATATGCTGTCAAATACAGTCAATGTGTTTGATAGAAATTTAATTGCCATATATCCTGGTGTATAAGTTAACCCCCTATTTTTAATACCAAATTTCTGGTATGTCAGCTGTTGACATGATCAACCATTGACAAAACCAAACATGTAAATTTTTAAAAATTTAAATCATTAAGTCTAAAAAAATTTCTCAAGTTAAAAATGTTTCACATTGTTTTCACTATATACGTAACGTAAATCTGATACATATGATGTTAAATTTGTAATTTTAGTTTTAAAAGTTTTCATTTTGTTGCATTTTTGAAATAGTTTTGAATAAATTATTATCTTAACTTTTGTTACTCTTAATTTTAGTTCTAAACCTAATTTAAAACATTGTTTTTTTAAAAAAACGTTTAGATGTAAAGAAAATTGAAAGTTATTAAATATAATATAATAAAAACCATTTTTTCACAGTGTAAATTGATACAGACTTATTCATTTCTATCTTACTGTTTATAATACATTGATAATAAAAGATAAACAAAGGTTCGACTTTATTAACGGTGTATCAGTTGACCCCCTGATTTTGTAAAGTTTTTTTAGGTTTGAAAAGTTGATTTATACATCAGGAAACATGGTATATAATTTTGCTAAGAATATGTTATAAATTCATTTGGTCAGTCGATCATTTTATTGACAGTAATTGCTATAACCTTTTATAAAATAATGATTTTTTAGCAGTATAATAGCATGATTACACAGGTATTTAAATAATCATTTTTGGACATGCAGGATCCGCAATGATTTTATCTTAAATCCACGTGATTTTTATCAATTTCTTTTTCAGCAGTTATTATGTGAAGATTTTCACATGGTTTAAAAATTAGTTTCCTTAATACTATGTCCTTACAATACACAAACTTCTGTCCATCCTCTCTGATTTAAAATCGAGTTAGATAATATTTTTCTCATTATGAGTCGAAATTTTTTTTTTCTTCATTTGGAAAGATTATGGATTCTTGAGGTTTATGGTAATAGGTGTAGGGAACACCTTAATTAGAAAGTGCTTTCTAGGCATACCCTAAAATTTTTCAAATACCATTTTGCATAAATGTGGCCGAATTTCACTGATACAAGGGTAAATGTTTTCCTTCAGGGCATGGGTATTTATAGGCTTGTTTCCTTAAGAAAGGTATCTTAAGCTTAAGAAAAGGTCTGGCAAAGTTAAATTGCATTATCTGGGTGATATGACAAGAGAATAAATGAACAGCGCTCAAATATTTTCTTACACAGTGGTAGCACTAAATTTTATCAAAGCTGAACTGCCAGGTTCAGCAACTTATTCTTTATGCTCCCAACATTTAAGTGCACAAAATTCCAATTTCACATGAATTTTAGAATATTCTTTAGTAATTTAAAAGTAAAAGCAACAATGCTTCTCAAATTATAAGATAAAAGGTAGAAGAATTGAAAATATAAGTATTAAAAAAATATATATATTACCGAATCTCCCGCCACAGTACAATATCCACAAGGTGCTTCTTTGGAGTATACTTTTCCTTTAAATTCTCCTTTTCTATAAGCGCATGCATGTATTCTTGCATCCCAAGGTATATGAGTTACTGCATCTTCAATACTTTTAACACCTTTATACTTCATAAATTTTTCCTCTGACACATGAGTCTAAAGAATATACATAAATATTATTGCATTGTAGATCTAAATATTTTTTAATACATCAGATTTAAAGTGGTAATTAAATAGAACATTACTATTAAAGTTTTATTTAATTGATTAATTGCCACTTTATTAATTGAGTCAAAGTGGTAATTAATTGAATTATTTTATAATTACTTGAAATGCGCTTATAGAGAAAAGTAATTACCGAACAGACTATAATTACTTTGCTATTATAAATACTTTTAATGTGGCTGATTCATTTAGTTATGTTATTACTTTTATTACATATTTATTTTCTTTTTTATAAAAAAATAAAAAAAAATAATTCAAACAATAATAACAGAACATTATTATTTGACAAAGCTTGTGCACAAGAACAATGCTTGTGCACACAAGAATAACAAATTTTAGAATTTAAGAGCTAGGAATACTATTATTTTTTTAATGATTTTATAAAAATAAAAACATGGTTCCTGATCCTTCAACTCAATCTCACTTCAAGTAAATTTCAATAAATGGCAAAGTTGCATTCCTTGAAATATCTGACAGTCCTGAGGCGAATAACGAAAAAATTTCAATGTTATAAATGATTCTTCTCTTAATAGCTAATACTAAATAGCTGATTCCACAAACTCAATCTAGCAAGTACAAAAATACCAAATATTAAATAAACTAATACATAACAATATTATTAATACTTTAATAATAACAATAAAAAAATAAATACACAGAATTATTAATTAAATAAATTGACTAACTAATAACAAGCAATTTCATATCTATTGCGTGTTTAGTCATTCATAACTCTTAGATTCAATTTTGCCCACTTTCAGTTTAAGGTCATGCTAAAATCACCATAATGCATTTTAAAGCCATTTATTCTATATATAAATCCTTTTCCTCTAACTCTCTAATAAATTAACATAAATAATTGTGGTTGTTAAAACCACTTAACAGTTGGTTTCTTTTTAAAATAGAGTTTCTCCATGAACTCATAAATTTATCTTAATAGTATAAATTTATTTTTGACTTTTGCACCATCTTTTTTATAGTCTCAGTTTTTCATAGAAGTCTATTTATGAAAATAAAAGTTTAAACTACAGCAAAGAAAGGGAAAAAAACAAGCAAAGAGGTGACTTTTTGAACCTGTCAAGTGCACTTGATTGAAAAATATGCACACGAAAAAAAGAAGTAATGTCATTAGGGTTAATTCATCAATAAATGTTGCCATCATAAATGTTGCATGCGATAGGAGCCATTCAATTTTAAGGAAGCAATAATAGACCTTCTTTTTACACTTGTAGGTAAAAGATGTGANTTATCTTGAATAGTTTTTTCACAAAATAGATGTTTGCATTTTTTGATCAGGAATTACCCCAGGTCACCCTATTTTATATAATTTTGTGAAGAACATTTTGTGAATTGCGTTTTTAAGAATATTTTGTGTTTTTACGAATATTTTGTGAATATTCCCCACGAAACCCAAATTTTTCATTCCACCAAATTTTACTTCTTTTTTAAAAAATTTCCAAGTGCAGTTTTTCCACTATTTTTTGTTAGATTTCTTTCGATTACAAAAAAATAAATAAATTAAGAAGAATTTAGTAACTTACATAAGCAATAATCCTCTTCTCTCCTTTGCCAGCAAAAATAAGCAAAGCATAAACCTCCAACCCCCTTTAGTGCTTAAGTAATATTCGAATGGTAGCTTAAAAATTCTAGTTTTGTATATGTCTACAATTAAACTCTTTAATTTATATCAAATACATGCTTATTATTTATAACCAAAATATAATTTATCATGAATTAGTGTCTTCTTCAATATTTCTAGTTTAATTATTAGCATTTGCTGCTGCACTTTAATAAATTTTCCTTTCAGAAAAAAAATTCCATGAACAATGTCATATTTTTGTTATAAGGTTTACAATTAAAAAAATGCCAAGCAAATTAAGATAATTTTCAAAAACTATAACAGATAGAAGTTATTTCGTTTTTGCTTTATCCCATTATTAGCTTATAATGACAGTTTTATTTCATTGTAATAACCACAGTCAGAACAAAATGACTGCCTATTTCCAACGGAAAAAAGAAATATAAGAAAAAAGAGAAATATAAGAAGACTTAAAAAGAAACTAAGTAAAGAAAAACTTTCTTTAAAAAAGTTTTTTCCTTTTTCTTAACTTAGTCATATTTTTTTTTCTTCAAATCTTCCAATATTTTGCCTGAAAACCCCCCATAATTATTTTTTGTTTTGTTTCCCCGAGTTTCATTTGTTTTGTAAAGAAAAAAAACTGACTACTTAATATAGTACTAATATACCAAAATTCCTAAAATTGTACAATAGTATAAAACTACTATAAATGTCAGTAGACTTAAGACTTCAGATATCAATACAAGTAACATTAACTATTAAATTGTGATATTGCAATTTTCAATAAAATGAGAAATTAATGCTAACAAACTTTATGGAAAATATATCAGTTAGACATGCTATAGCTTTCATATTTGATTTCCATAACAATTAAGCTTACTACAAATTTTTATTCAGATGTAAAACAATTTAATTATACAGTTTGATAATACAAATGTTTTGATATGCGTCAGGGAACTTTTCAAGATACCATAGAAAAAATACATGCTTTATCAATTATAATAAGAATTTAAAATGGTTATAAAAAAAAGAGGGAGAGATAAAGAAAAATTTCAGTTAATAGATTTCTTCTTTCTTTTTTTTTAATAATATTTTCTAAAGAATCTTTTATTGCAAAACAATTAATAATACAGTAGAATCCTAATAAACTGTGGGTAGACTATCTGCAAGTTTCACAAAGAGATTAAAAATTATATTGCATGTAATCCACCATTAACCTTGAAGTCCTTTTAAAAAAAAACGTAACTGAACACTTTTATGGAATATATTTACTATTTTCTATTTCAGTGATTTATAGGAAAAAACAAAGATTTATGTTGTGCATTCAATATGCATACTGACGTTTGTTAGCACTATCGTGCTACAAATGATATACATAAGTACGAATACAGTTTGAAATTACTTTTCGAGTTTCCACTTTCGTTTTTGAGTTTACTTGAATTTTGGTAATCCGCAATGCCCTAGCCACTGAATTATGCAAAAAAAGCAGATCTTTACTGTATTTGTAAAGCATATGAAATAATAATAACAATTTTACAATGCATATATAAAAGTTATTAAATTACCTTTTCCCCAAATCTTTTAAATAGCTCTACAAACACAAACTCATATGCATACTGAGCTGAACAGGAGAAAAAAATTATGTGATCAGAACCTTTATCAAGCCACGTTTTCACCAATGGTACAACGGTATCAAGACATTGTTCTCGAGTGGGGAAAAACATGTATCTTCTTGAACAGAAGGTGGTGTCAATGTATAATGAATCAAGAGGTTTCAAACTGAAAATGGAGAAATATTTAATATCAGAAAACAGATACAAAGTAAATAAGTTTATTAATAAATATTATTAACAAATATTATTAAGCCAACTATCATATAATGAATGGAGAGGTTATGAATGAGAAATGAAAAAAGCATAAAAATTAGAAAAAATGAAATTTTAAAAAAAAGTACAAAAATACTGTTGTTAAAACGATGTTTCTAAATACCATAACAAAACACTATAAGGCTCTTAAATCATGAAAAAAAAATTTAAAAAAACTTTAATCAATAAAGAAAAAACTTAACCTCAGTAAATAGATACAAAATAAATTTAACAATCTCATATATTGATAAATTTCACAGTTCCCAGAGTTCGTAAAAACATGTATTTTCTAGAACAGAAGGATTGCGTCAATATATAATGAATCAAAAGGTTTTGCACTGAAAATTTAGAAAAATTTAATCTCAGTAAATAGTAACACTTAAATTATTCAATATGAATTAACGATAAAAAAATTCTTTTTTGCAACAAATCTTCCAGAACATTAAAAATTAAATTATATAAATTGTTAATAATAGAGAAAGAAAATAAGATAAAAACAAATTTTATTGAATTGAAGGAATGAATTGCAGTGAATGCTTCAAAAGTTGAAAATAAAAACAAAAGAGAAATTATATTACACAAGTAATACAGTTTCAATTTTTGAAAGTAGAAAGGTATAAACGTATCCAATCTTGCATTGACAACAACAATATTTTTATTTTTAATTTAATTATGCGAAGAACTTCTTTTTTTTTGGGATGACCCTTGTATATAAAATCTCTGATAATTGATGAGCTGACTGGATGAAGATTCTAAATGATATTTTGATAAATTTGATTTATAAATTATTACTAAATTTGATTAAATAAGTCGTAAGCATCTAATGGGAAAATCTAAAAATCTCTTGATAATCTCATTGTCAATCCTTGCATTCTTGGCATTTTGAGTATACTAATCAACTGGTTGTAGCCCAATTGCTCTTGAAACCTACTTCCACTACACAAATATTGTCACTTAGTACATTTGGAGATTTGACAAGATAAGTTAATGCTGAATTTCCTTAAAAGCAACATTTAAAAACCATGCAAAAATTTTCATTAAAACCTAAACATTTTACCCATAGGGATTTTAAAACAATCTGTGAAACTTGGAATCTTAAGTTAATGTTGAATTTTATAAAAAGCAATGTTTAAAAATCACACTTAATGAAATTTTCATTAAAATGTTACCGTTGGGGATTTTCAAATGTTGTTTGAATGAAAAAATTTTAGGATTTGTGATTTTCAAACCTTTTTTAATGAGATTTAATTTTATTGCAAAGGATATTTCCTGGTCTATTTTAATGTAATGTTGTACAGTTAAAAAATAAATAAAAATAAGATATTTCCTGAAGAAATTTCTATTTTTGTTCAATAAGTCACTCAGAACCTTCTTTCAGTTCACTTTTCAAGAAGTGTTAAGCAGGGGTATGTGGATGCTCAGGGTAAGTTCTTCACTGTAGTTGCCAATAAGAGTGTAATAATGCAATCATTAGAAGGGGGGAATCCAAAAAACTTTTTTTAAAAATTGGAACAACTCATATAAAGTTTAATATATATTTTAAATTCCTTTTTATGTATATGTAAGCAGGAGTTTTTCTTCTGCAACTATTATTTCCAAAAAATTATTTTTAAAAGTAAAAATTATTCAAGTTTAAACGACCTGAAACTTCCTTATTATATTTGTTTTAAAACCACATTTTATTCTTCATGAAATATTTAACTATTTAAAAAGTAAATCTCAATAAAAAAATAATGTTAAAAAGAGATTTAAAGTTTTGGTTTACTTTGCTGTAAATTGGATGCCCACTTTTACTCCCTTTGCACGCCACTGTCTACACTAGGACTGGGCGATATAAGAAATTTTATATCGTGATGCATCGTCATTTTTACATCGCAATATAGCGATGTATCGCGATATAGTATTTTTGAAATTCATTTACTTGTAAGGCGCAGACAGTCGGATTTCAATCAAAACTTCATACTCAGATTGATTTAAATCAATTTATTAATTTGATGTATAGGTTTTGCTTAAGAAAGATATTAATGTTATATTTTATAAAAATGATCACGCAAATAACGAAAGATTTCTTAGTTTAAAAATAAATACTAAAAAAATAAATAAAATTGAAATTTATCAATATATTTACCTAACAATATAGAAAGAAAATTTCAAAAATAAGTTCGTTGTAATTTTATTTACCAAAACAAAAACAACTAAAGATTTATAAATTTAAAATAAGTAATAAAAACCCATTAAATTATTATTTTATCCAAACAGTTTTTAATAAATTAAAATAAAGTAAAAAATAGCCTAACAAATTTAATTAATTTTTAATTTAATTTTTTATGGGCACCTTAAATTAGATTTCCGATTGTAATGAATTCAATAATGTAAAATAATACTTAAACATATAATATCAAAATTAATTTTCACATTTAAAAATAAAAAAGAAAGTTTTGTTTCAAAAAAAATTATCTAATTAATTAAGAAACACTTCTTTATACATTCTTTTCAGTAATAGCTTACGTTCAGCACAAGGTAACTATCACGAAGTCAGTCCCACTGAAAATAATCTACAAGAAACGATATCAAATCGCGACAAAGAAGAAAAAAAAAAAACTAAGAGGTGCGGTAACGAACATGCGAGATCACGATATATGTTCTCAAAACTGATTCTACCGCTCATCAATCAAGGCCGTTTCAATATAACGATACGTACATCGTCTTCCCCAGCGCGAGTTGGCATCGGAACGTAAAGGTTCTTGCGTGTCTTGTATCGCTATATCGTTCGTCTTCTTTATTCGACAGCTTAAATCAAATTTCTGATGCATCGCCTGGAACGAAAGTCGCTGNCCATTATCTCCTTCGATTAGAAACCTAAAAATGTAATTTCAATACAAAAACTTTCAGGATATTGTTATAAACTAATCTAAACACATAGTTATCCAATTATTGCATGATTAGTAATATCGCAAAAGTATCCATATTTCATTTCAATACAACTGATACTTAGCATTGATAATTCTTTTTGACAATATTGGTTGGATTGGTGTTCATATATCATTTCATTAGGATAGACAGATCTGGTTGCTTTCTTTTAAAAATATTCAAAAAACAATGTTAACCAAAATCATCTTACAAATGTACTTTAAAGAGCATTACATTTATTATGTTACTTCCTTTTTAAAAAAATTTATGGACCATGTCAAATACATTCCTAAAATATTTTTTAAAAAATGCATCAAATTAGGCTCCCGAATGCAACTAGTTTACTGTATCCTGAGAGGACTCTGATCTATTTAAACAGCGTCTAGCAACCAAACAAATATTGTAGATATTAAAACTTATATTTTTTCTATTTGTCTTGGTTTCTAAGCTAAATATACTTGCTACATAAAGTCTCACTCAATTGAATAATTGAATTCTTTTTTATTCAAACGAAAAGCTAAAATTTGATTTCATTTAAAGATGCTTTACATCAAATATTACTTTTGACAACTGCTTAGAATCAAAATTAAAATCTCATTTTCCAAAAGGGAAAAGTAAAAGATTATATTTTGAAAAAGGAACACTTTTTAAAAACACCCTATAAAAATAGCACCTTTAAGGGTTTTTAAATAGCGAAAATCGAAAATAAGCACTTTTTAAAAACGCTACACACTCTGAAATATATGAATAGATATACATATAATGAATTTGTATTTTGAAAAGATTTTTTAAAATTTAAAGCCATTGTACTCTAATAAACACATGCAAAAGAATAAAAAGCATTTAATTCCATTAATGTCAAAGTGCTCAGGGGCATTATTGCTGAAGTTATCAGATTCAAACGAATTTGAAACAATAAAACTAACTTTATGTAGGAAAGTGAAAATTTTTATGCTAAGCTTTAATATAATAATTTTCCAATTAATTTCAGCAATCAATTTTTGGCAAAATTTAAAATTTAGGTTTTCATTTACTTTCTGAGGTTTACATTGTCGATAATGCCTAAAACATAACAAGGTATTTTTAATCCAATTATGATGCACCATCTTCAATCCAATAATTGCTATGAATTTGGCTGAAACCTTTTTAATGTTATATTTAGTTTTAGTCTATAGTGTAGGGTTCAGCCAATAGCAACATGGTTTACAGCTTTTGCTGTTCACCACGTTGCTGAACAATTGTTGCCATAACGAGACCCAATACATCTTCATTCAAAAAGTATGTGGTGCTGTAGGCTGCCAATGAGTTACAACACTTCTTATTATATATATAAATATATAGTAAAACCTCACGTTACAGACACTCCTACTAAATTCACGCCTCTCATTACAGACATGATTTTAATTTTTAATTCTCTGTGAATTTTTTAAGAAAAAATCCTCCAGAGAGGATGCTGGCAGTTATTTATGATCCAAAAAGTTATTTTCTATCTCTTTAAACCATACACTAATTTTTTAAAATTTGACCAAAAAAAAAAATTCGCTTTAAATTCACAAAACAAATGTATGCAACGTTCCACCATTTTTAAACAATAAATTTTTTGCCTTATCCATAACTAAAAATATTAATATATTTCACTACTAAAAAATAAATCTTTCTCCCATCATCTACCTTTATTTGCAAAGAAAAAGGAAATGATACGCACATGCGAGGTATTTTAGGTAGCAGTATATTTTTATCAGGGCAACACAAGTTAAGAGATCTCATCACAAGCTGAAATTATGCATTAAATTGTTTAAATTCCTCTTTCCCGCTGAAAATTCTTTTATTTCAATTTCACTCCTGTATTTAACACAGCTGGGTAAAAAATAAAAAGTCATTGAGGTGTTCATATAAATCAAACATTATTATGACATTTACACTTGACAGATGATCTATTGTGAATATTAGAGCTTCCCCTAGGGTCTAGTGCCTTACAGGTATGTATTGCTGCTTTCTTTCTTCTGTGCATCGCAAGAAATTTACCTTGAAGGTGGTATTACTCCACTTCCTATCAAGTAATGGAGAGGTGTAAGGAGTGTAAACCTAATAATTTGAGGAAGTGACGAAGGATTAAGACCGTCAATTCGCTATCATATGACTAACTTGAATGTCTTTGTAGAAAGGAAAAACATATTCATTTATCAGTAGCTACATCTAATACTATGAACATATATCAAACTTTCTCAATTTCTCTTTGTATTGGAAAAATATTTTTTAAAAGTGTAAATAAATATGAATGTAAACAGTAGTTACAGATTATTGAAATATTTCTATATCAGTGCAATTATTCTAAAAACATTTCATGGCATTAAAATTTGTTATTAGTGTATCCTTCTCATAAATGGACAACTTTCGTAGTCCGAAAATGTTTTCAGTCCCAAGAATGTCCGTCTAACCTGAGGCAGGCTTCACTGTACATATATATATATATGTATATATAGATAGATAAACAGATAGATAAATACATACATAAATAAATGCATGCCCACACACATAAAGAGCATTATTGTTTATGGTATTATAACTAATGAAAAACATGTGGGTAATAATCACGTATTGAAGAAATGAAACCCTTTCATGTTTCAGGGTGATTGTGAGCCTAAGTCAAAATTCTGGAAAATTTCTTGGGTAAAAAAAACAAAACAGTTTAAATTGAAAAAAATTTAAACAAGGTTTTTTTCCTTTCTCTCAATATTTCTTAGTTTACTTAAAGTATATTTAAAATTTTACACATACCTATACCATTGACACATATCTATGATGAGAAGTAATTAAAATTTACAAATATGTCTTTCTTGAGTTTATGATTATAACAACTATTTACTGATAAAAAATTAATATTAATCATGAATATGAGGTTATAAAGTATCTCTCTGGCTCTCCCTTACAAACAAATATAATAAACTGTGTTTTTAAGTTCCTTCCACCTTTGAAAATTTGATTTCCGGAAACTTCTGTGATCAATGATTTTTTGAAACGTCGACCTTCGATCTCCGGAAACTTCCGGAGCACAATCAGCCCTGGTGTTTTCTCAGCTTTTCTCTTGTTACAAAACATAATCAGGGGTCTGTCTAGGTTTTTCTGACAGGTACCTATTTTGTGAAAATTTAGACGTAATTTGTGAAAAATTAAAAATTATATTAAGAAATCAACACAAAAATATGGATTTATCGTTTCTTAAGGGATACAAAAATGAAATTTTAAGAAAAAGTATTTTGTGAAACTACCGTTTTTCCAAAATTGAATTTGTGAAACTACCGTTTTTCCTAAAGTTGAATTTGTGAAGGTACCGCTAAACGGTAGTAAATTCGGCCTGGACAGACCCCTGATAATGTTGAAATAAATACATTGCATTTTGTAACAAGAATAAAAAGCAGAATAACTAATGATAGTCAAAGATATTTAAATAATTTTGTCATACCTAACATGAAAGAAAAATTGGTACATTTACCAATATAGAAATTTAAAGAGTATTATAAAAAAGTATAAAATTAATTTTCTTACATAACAGACCCAGGACAATGGCCAGCGGTTAGTAGAGTGACAACAACCCTTGAATTCTAGAAGATAAAAATAAATTTTAAAAAATGCATAATCTATGATAAAGTATTTGAAATATTGGTTTAAGTAAAAATATTGAGATTATATTATAGAATTCATACACATAGCGTGTTCCATAATGGTTCGGATTAAATACATATATTTAGATTTCATATTTAGGTAAAAAACAATGAAATTTTTAACAAAATTAAAGTAAAAAACAATGATCTATTGGAAATAAAATATTTAGGACTGGCAAATAAATTTAATCGTTTAAAAAAAATTGAGTTACAAAAAATTTAAATTTTAAAAGAATTTAAATTTGCTGTTTAAAAGAATTAAGAAACTAAACTATGTATGCTTAGATTATGGTGCCTCATTAAAGTGACATCATTCTTTTCAAATTTGAAACAAAAAAAGGCTGAGTCACTTACTTTTCTCTTCTGAAACCATTGACTCTGAAAATTTTAAAACCTTAAGACAAACTTATTTTGATTTTATATATTTATTATCGAAATATATATGTTTTGTTTTTATAATTTCTACATTATTTTATGATATCAGCCACCATAAAGTTCCTCATACCTCAAATGCTAACATTTTAAAAATTATTCAAACATTTTATAAATGCAAAATAAAGGCGAGCAAAAATTTTAGTACACATAGTACCTATAGAACTGAAATTTCATGCCCTGCCACACAAACAGACAAGGACATTTAATGAATTATAATTAAGCACGTAATGTTATGTTATTTTTAAAAACACATTATGTCATTAAAATTAATATTTTTAATGGATGTGTTATTTTTAAAGAACAGGACTAAATGACCTTTTTTGAGGTTACAGAGCATTTTTAAAGTCAGGAAACAACTTTGATTTTACATTGTCAAAATATGCAAAAAAATGTGAGCAAAACTTATTTAACAAATTATAAAAGTGGGTAAATTACGATTAAGTAAATTATGGAGCCTAGTGTAAATAGCTTATAGAATAGTTTTTTAAAACTTAAAACCTTCTTTCACTTGATCTTTCTAATTAGTAGAGTTTTCTAATTTAATTATAATTGTTTAATGCAATTTGAATTAAAATTAAAAGAATAAAAAATTAGTTTTGACCAAATTTGTTTGTTCTTTTAAAACTGCAAAGAACACAAGAAAAAGGAACACAATTTAAAATAAGAAATGCTAAAAAGAAAAAAATCTTAAGAGACTTACTTCCATTCCATTTATGTCAGGAATCAATATCAATTTAGGCTGTTCTAATGGTAGACCTACCTAAAATTTTAAAGAATGTAGGGGAAGCATAATGAATTTGCATTATATATATATATACAATCTATGATATTTTACAGAGGAAATTTGACTGATAAAAAAAAAATCACCTAAAATGTTCATTCTAGCTCCCCTCCTTAATTTGCAGTTTTTGATCACATTATTAAAGACAGAAAAATAATGCTACAATATTTGCCTGCATAATTTTTCTCTGCAAAAGTCAATCAAGTAAAAAAAAAAGCTAAACACTGAGAACTTGTTAGTTGCAAAAAAAAATAAGAGGTAAAAATTAGATTCCACAAACTGCTAAAAAGAAAGATTTTTATAATCATATCATTGTAGGTTTCTTTTCTACGTAGGAAATTTATGAAAAATTATAAGAAATTAGTTTTTTAATCATATTTTATAACCCTCATTGAACAACTGACCCAATTTTGAATTCACAACTATCAATGTTCAATTCCATAACCTTGCAATTTTGAACCCAAAGCAGAAAACAATGGAACTCTCAGATCACGTATAGGGAGAAAATTGCCTTTACCAGTACTTTTTGATTGAACTAACCTGCATTTGTGTTACATGGAGAGGAAAACCTCATATTGAAAACCTGAAAACAAGGAGACTCTAACCCATAATCCATCTACCACAGAGAATATTTAACGTCAACTCTGCAATTGGTCTGAGCCTGGTACAGAATTCGTATCTATTAGCCATTGCTGAGATACAAACACATACATCTTTGGGAGGAAAGCACTCCATCTCCTGAGCCACCACGGCTTATTTTAATCATACTAAAAAGAATGCACTTTCAAAATTTCTATTTAAAACTTAATTGTTTTTTCTTCTATTAATCAAGCCTGCACCCTCTCAAGTCTCTATGTGATTGTACAGTTTCGCTTCTTACAACTTCGCTTGTTTTTAAGCACGGAGACAGGAAAGCACAACAAAGAAAAATAGGTGACTCAAATGAGGAACAATCAATATCAGTGTAAAGCTAAAGGTTATTTAATATGCTAAAATGATCTTTTGTTTTCTTTTATCATAGAGCATGAAAATGTAAATTAAGAAAAGAGCAGAAAAAAGCTGCGATTAAACCTGTGTTAAAGCTTCAAAAGTAACCAGTGTAACATCTAAAAGCTTGATTCTCAAACTTTCGAAATTAATTGTTCATCCTTTTAGCCAAACATATAGAAATTTATCTCATAAAACATATTAAAAAACACTTTTTGTTTGCTGAACAAAATTAATTTATTGAAATGCTAATATTTTCAGTTAAAAAGAAAAGCAAAAATATAAACAGAAATTTACTTCTTTAAGTTATAAAGTTATTAACTTATCAAAGTGATTTAATAAAGCATACATACTAAATATTCTGACAGGTGACTATAACTTGAATCATTCTTCAACAGATGTTCAGAGACCTCCGAAAGATAAATTTTGCTGAAACCCCTGCAAAACATAATCTTTTTAATGCCTTAAAATATAATAAAAAATTAACATATAAAGTATGTTATAAAATATAAATATTAATGTATTGCTTTAATGACCAAGAAATCTCAATCAAGAAAAAAAACTAAACAAACCTTCCTTGTAACAGAAACCAGAAATGTTCATCACGTAGGCCATGCATATGATCTGTAAAATATATGAATAGTAATTTTATTTGGTTTCGGTATAAATAAATTTACCTGATCACAAATTAGGTAATAAAAAAAAAAATATTTTTTGCAACTGGACTAGAAAAAATAAATAGATAGATATAATTGATATAAGCTCGATTATCAATTGTTATAAAGTAACACTGAGTCCAGTAGGGTTGCTACTTATGATTTTTAAAAATGTTAAAAATACTAAAAACAAAGATTTATTAGTTTTATAACTGTATGTTTGAATATTATAAGTATTGATATTTGTTTGTAGTACCTAAGTGACAATGAGATAAAAAATATGTAGATGATTCATAGTTTTTCTGCCGAAAACAGTCGATTGAAATAAGCTTGTACTCATCCACAATTCCACCAAAAGTACTCATGATAAACGAATAAGTTTTACCGAATAAATAACAAAAACGTAGGCGTAGAATTTCTTGATGTGAAAATAATAATTTAAAGATGTAAAAATCATTTATTTAAATTCATTCTCAATAATAATAATAATAAAAAGTTCAGTCAAAAATGTGCAAGTTGACTATTTCAATTCATTAGAGTTAATATTTTATAAAAACAAGAAAATATTTTAATAAATAAGTAAGTCAAAACAAGGGTTATAAAATTATGATCAGTAAATTCATTCTTGATTTTAAATAAATAAATAAATTCATTATAGATAAAAAAATTAAAATTCAATTCATTTGTTTATTTACAGACACAGATATAGGATATATTTAAAATGAAAGTTGAAGTTCATGAGAAAACTCGCAAATATTGTTTTGTTAGCAGTTAATTCATCGCTAGATGTCAGGACGGAAAGCTCTAATACGTCATCTGGAGAGAAGGCAGGTTCCATGTTCTAACGCTCTCTCCTCTTGTCTCTCCCCCTTCTCAGTTATATGGGAATGTACAGTGCAGCCCCAAAGAAAAATAAAAAATAAAAGAAACTGACCACCCTGAATAACTTTAATTTAATGATCATCGCTTTCATGTTCTAGAACTCAATCTTAATGGCCGGAAGGATAGACTCAAGTAAGCTAATTAATAACGGCAGATGACAATTTAAGGTACAGGTACGAAATCATACTCAAAAACGTACTTTCTCTGAATAAACATGTCTTTTTTTCGGACTCGGATTTCTTACCCCCAAAAGCCAAAATAAAGGGCGTAGTGACATTAGGGGAAATATGATCCCAATAGGTTGGTCAGGTGAGAGCTCCAAATTTCAGAATCATTAATGTTAATTTGACTTTTTGCGCATTTCGTTATATCTTGAGAACTTTTGAAGCGAAATTGAAAATTTTTCCATGCAATTATAAAATTCGTTTAGACAAAGATAATTCCATGTAAAAAACAATTTTTAGTAAATATTCATTATTTTTTATTATTTTATTTAAGACTGGTCAAAAAAAACTTTTGAATCTTAAGGTATACAGTTTTTTTGCTTCATTTTTGAAAAGTACAATTTTATACGGCAAAATACAAAATTTGAGCAAAATTGGTTGAATAGTTCTTGAGAAATTAAATTTAAAAAAAGTTAGGTATTTAAAATTCGATTTCTGAAGAGCTATTTAACTGATTTCGGCCAAAATTTGTGTTTCGCCATCTGTAATTGCGTACTTTAAAATTATCTGAAAAATGGCATACCTTACAATTCAAAAAACTTTGTACTAATATTTAATAAAGTAATAAAAAATAATAAAGAACTTCAAAAATTAAATTTTTTGCAAGAAATTATTTTTGGATGAAATAATTTTATAACTGAGGGCAAAACATTTTCAATTCGCTTAAAAAGTTCTCGCGATGTGGCAAAATACACAGAAAGTGAAATTTATGTTAAGGCGTCCAAACTTTGCATCGCCCTTCTGACCGAACTATGGGAACCATATTTTCTAGATTGTGGCTACGCCCTATATTTTGGGGGTCAGAAATCGGAATCAATCGAAAAATGAGGTATGTTTATTCAGAGAAAGTACGTTTTTGTGTTTGATCTCGTAACTTAAAATATTATCTGTAATAATTAAATATCATATTTAAAATTACCCCCTCGAACCATTAAGATTGAATCCTAGAACGTGCAGATCCGATTATTAGATGGAAAGTTATTCCGGGTGGTCCACTTTTTTTGGAGTACTATACAGTGCACAAAATAGAAAATGGATTTTTAAAATGTAACGCATATTAAAAATTATCCCGTCAAACCATTAAGATTGAATCCTAGAATGTGAAGATCTGATTATAAGATCAAAAGTTATTCAGGGTAATTCGTTTATTTATTTATTTATTTTTGACGCCCTGACAGTGCACAAAATAGAAAACAGACCCCCCAGGGATAACTTTTGATCTTCGCGTTTTAGGACTGAATCTTAAAGGTTCGAATGGTTAATCTCAAATATGCTAATTAATTACTGCAGATGATGTTTTAAATTACGAAATAAAACACAAAAACGTACTTTCTTGGAATAAACATAAGTTTTTTTTTATTGCGTATTTCGCGATATGTCGAGAACTGTTTAAGCGAATTTTAAAAAATTTGCACACAATTAAGAAACTCGTTTATCCAAAGATAATTTTATGCAATATATAACTTTTAGGAAATATTTATGACTTTTTTTATTGTTTTATTTAATAACAGTTGAAAATTGTTTGACTATACAAGTTTTTACATCTTTTAAAGAATGTAATTTAAAATTGCAAAATACAAAATTCGAGTGAAAACGTTAGAATAGTTCCTGACACCTGAGAAATCAAATCCATGACCAATTTAATTCACATTTTTGTATTTTGCCATTTAAAACTACATTCTTTAAAATGATGTAAAAAATTATATATCTTACAAAACAAAAGTTTTTCGACTATTATTAAATGAAAAAAAAATCAACAATATTAGATATTTATTAAAAGCTATATTTTCCATAGAATAACTTTTTAATAAATGAATTTATCAATTGTGTGCACAAAATTTTCAATTTTGCTTAAAAAGTTCTTAAAATATGGTGAAATACGCATAAAATAAAATTAACATAAAGGGGTCTAAATTGTCCGTCCGAAAAAAGGCTATTCAGAGAAAGTAAGTTTTTGTGTCTGACGCCTTCACTAATTATTTAGTATATTTGAGGTCACCCCTTCGAACCATTATGAGCGTGGAGATTCGATCTTTAGATCAAAAGTTATTTAGAATGGTCTGTTTTTTTTCTCTTTTTTTTTGCGCATTGTACTACAATATCTTTCCTTTTCTAATTATCTTCGGATAAAAATATTTTTTTTAAATTTTTACGGCACTTTCCCTTAAAACTATGTTAACTGCAGTTTTCAGTTTCATGTAGTTTCCTAACTTAAAAGTTTTTAATCTATTTAAAAATCAAGACAGAAACTAACGTACATCCTTCTCCTGTGACTATCCACGCGCTGCAGGTGAAAGCATGCGAAGTGTAGTCGTAGGTAAAGAGTTCTGCTCTACGTCACCTGTAGCCCATTTGGATAGCCAACACTATTATTAAATTCCTTATAATTTATAAGAAATAAATAATACTTTTTAGTGAATTCAAATCATATTTTTTCCAGAGTAAATATTGTCTTTAAAAAATTATTTGCAAATAGGGTTGCATTTTAGCAAATTTTTATTCAAAAAAAAAAAGAAAAAAAAATCGTGAACAAAACAGGAAATTACATATTAATAAATAAAGTTTTTGTTTTCCTTACTCTAAATTTAATAACAATTCTTTTTTTCTTCTATTCTAGCTTCTACAAATAATTAGAAAAATAATTATTCAATTGTACATTACAATAACAAATAATATAACAAATATTTCTCAATTTAACAAAAACAATAATAATAAATAATAAGCAGATAAACGAATAAAATATGAAGAAAAAAGTGGCATCTGAAATATTTTTTTCCATACTGCACTCTCGTCAATGATATTAAATTTAAAGGTGCATATTATATAATACAATGTATTAAGGCAATACATTAAGGCTTATTATAATATAATATATTTTAAATTAAAATAGAAATAAATATTAAATCATCAATATTTATTAATGAATCATGCATGATTTTTTATTTTAGAAGAATAAAAGACTTTAAAAAAATTAATTATTCATTTAAATAACATTCATTATTAAATTCATATTTGGAATCATATACAATACGCTAACATCTAGAAAATTAGAATTTTATGATCATAAAATGATGATAATATTGAAAGTTGATTGAATGATAGTTATTGAAACTTGATATTGAATGATAATACTGAAAGTTGATTTGAGATAATTTTTATAAAATTTTCAGTGAAGAAGAAATTCTTTTTTAGAGAATGAATAACTAATCAATTTTTAAGTTAATGGCGTAGTTAAATTAACAGCTAACTAAGTTAAAGAATAAAACGAAAATATTTGCCTCATCCAGGCTTTATCTTTGCATTAAATATAAACAAAAACCGGTTCTGAAGCATACGAAGAAGCTGCTCTCTTTCTCGAACATATACACTGGTGTGCAAAACTTAAGCAACAAGTGCGTTTTTTGTCATAACTCTTCAAGAAATCATCCGATGGACAGGAAATTTGAATATGATGTACATTGTTTTGTACTTAAACGATGGTAAAAGAATAATGGCACAGAAATGAATATAAAGCTTAAAGTAGGGTATGGAACAAAAAAAGGCTTTATTTGACATACAGTGGCGTTACACATGATTACCAGAAGAAGCGTAAGTACAACTGGCAGATGTTCCCTAGTATGGGATATGCCCTCCCCTTACTGTAATTGTTGCTTGGCATCGTCTCTCCTTGCTAAGCACCTGATTATCCAGGAGTTCTTGGGGTAAACGTCTCCATTCCTCCTTTAACGCATCTTTCAGCTGATGGGTGTTACCAGGAGGATACTGTCGTGTCGCAAGACGTCTCCCTAATGCATCCCACACATGCTCTATGGGATTTAGATCTGGAGAGTAATCTGGCAAATCCATTCGTGTGATATCTTCACTTTCTAGTCGCTCTTGAACATTAGCAGTACGGTGTGGCCGGGCATTGTCATCCATAAAAATGAAGTCTGGTCCAATGGCCCCTCGGAACAGACGCACATGGGGTAAGATTACCTCATTGCAGTAGCGGTCTCCAGTTACAGAACCTCGGTCGAAGATCTGAAGCTCAGTCCGCCCGTTCAACATAATGCCACCCCAGACGACAACTCCAGGACCACCGTAACGATCTCTTTCCACGATGTTATTGGGATGAAATCGAGCTCCAACCTCTCTCCAGATCAACTGACGTTGAGAATCGCTTGTAGCACTAAAACGACTCTCATCTGTGAAGAGGACGCGACTCCATTGATGAAGTGTCCAGGTTTCATGTTCTCTGCATCACTCTAAACGGTGCCGCCGATGGCTAACTTTTAAGGGTATGCAGCGCTCAGGACGTCTAGCAAATAAGCCACCTTTGTGGAGGCGTCTGGCCACTGTAAATCTTGATACTTGTCGTCCTGTGGCTGTGCACAGTTGCTGAGATATGGCGCTCGCTGACTGAAAACGGTTTCTTTTCGCCTGGAGGACAATGTAACGGTCATCTCTTTGTGCTGTTTTCCTTGGACGGCCACCACCAACCTTCCGAACAGCTGTACCAGTAGTAACTGTACCAAGCACGAGAAACAACACTTTTGTTGATCCCGAACTCTTCGGCGACACTGGTCGCACTTCACCCCTCCTCAAGCTTCCCAATCATTCTTCCTCGAGTAAAGTCGTCTAAATGATTTCTTGAAGACATGTTTCACAAAACAAATCACTTGCACTTGCAGCGAATGTCTTTAATTACGGTGCTGTTCATCCTTTTATCACAGCTTTGACCTGCGCGCGCCGACCCACAAGGTTTACGTACACTTACATCACCTACGACATTTTATTTCTAAAATNAATTAACAGCTAACTAAGTTAAAGAATAAAACGAAAATATTTGCCTCATCCAGGCTTCATCTTTGCATTAAATATAAACAAAAACCGGTTCTGAAGCCTACGAAGAAGCTGCTCTCTTTCTCGAACATATAGTTTGTCTAAAGTAAGAGCTCATCCAGACATTTGTCTGGATCTGTGGCTGTGACTATGGTAACGAGGTATGACTATTTCAAGTAAGGGTGTGGGGTCACTGTTTTGGAGTAGTTTCGGCACGGATCGGCGGGAGAAAGGGAATCTCTTTCTTCGGTCTATTGTGTTTGTCCTAGAGTGACGATACCCTCCCTAAAATGAGCCGTTCTTGTTTTCATGGCTCCAGACGGCCCCACTCTTTGTGGCGGGAGGAGTTCTTAGCTTAGATAGACTGTATCCAAAACAGAGCTCGTTATTGTGCGGTTTTGAGGAGAATTCCTCCAAATTAAACATCTGGGGCTGTCTGCTGCTATACTAACGAGCGAGAGCACATTTCTAAAGGGGAAAACGATAGAGGAGTGAAGGTGTCGATTAGTTTACTCAGACTCAGTGGCGTACGCAGAATTTTTTTTAAGGGGGGGGGGGTTCATAATTTTCAGAAATTACTAAAAGAAATTCGAGTATGTAATAAAGCACTATTACTTCCCTAATTTAGACTTTTTATTTCGACAACATTGTTTAGTTAAATTTTGTTTTTATTTTTTAAGTTTAAGAATATAATTTTTTTTATAATAAGAGGTAAAATATTTTATTTTTATTAANGCGGATTGAACTTTTTTCATGTTAATATGAGGTAAAAATTTACATAAAAAATGAAACAGGCAGCACCTCATTCCAGTTATGTACTGATCTGATGTACCAAGCACAACATAATTTGTTACAGAATTCTTCGACTTGAGTTCAATCTAAATTTTGTAATTTATTTTATCTACGACAATTTAAAACTCCATGTTGGTTTCGCTAATCAATTCCCATCTCGAAATCGTTTTTGTTTCGACATTTTGCTGTAAAACAAAGGATTCACTAATTGATTCATTTCATGAAATATATAAAAGTTAACGTAATAATAAATTTTATGAGATATTTTTTTTTAAAAATCGAGTGACAAATCAACTATTCCAACTAATGGTGCAATTGCGAATATGTTTTGAATTAATTTCTTTTTAATCATCTTTCTTACTTTTTTTGCTGCAACAGATATTTGTAACAAATACTTTTTATATCAAAACAGCTACAACATGTAAATTTAAGCATTTGTCCTCACTTGTTTCTATTTCATAAGGTGACATGTAATTTGTTTATCACCGAAGCGGATGTGTCTCAGACGATAACAGTTGACACGTTGAACTTGTAGATAGTGATAAAGTTTCATTAATCTTTTTTTTTATATACATCATCACTTTTTTTTTTATATACATCATCACTATACATTATCACTTATCACATCTTGTCATCACTTATTTTTCCGATTCAGGAAGGGAGCGATTTTCTTCATCCACACAAAACATTTTTAAAAACAAGCAATAGGAATTAAGCGCATCGAAGAGTTAAATAAGTTGTTGTTTGTAAATTCTTGAAAGGTTCAAACAAGCTGTAAAAAACGAATTAAACTCAAAAATTACGATTGTTTCAGCAACATTAATCGCATTTGCTTTTAGACGCCAACTGTAAGAGAATGGCATCAATAAAGGCTCGTTTAAAGGTAAGAAGATTTTAGTTTCTAAAATACTGTAGTCTATATCAGGGATGGCGAACCAATGGCACGCGTGCCATTTATGGCACGCGACACAATATTTTGGGCACTCCACCGATCACAATTGTTGCTACACTATGAATTGTTATTACACAAATGTTATTACGCTATGAAGCATATGTAACAATTAAATTAAAATTCACAAAAAACAAACAAAATATTAAACAATTATTAATAAAAAAATTAAAAATTAATACTAAAAAACAATTAATAACCGTAAAAAACAAGCTAACAATAAATAACTGGCAAAAAAAAAATCAACAGTCCTGCTTAAACTAACATCTTAGAACCTAATATAAGTTATTGGTCATCTAATCTGCAACAACAGAAGTCACATTGATGTTACTTTAAGTTGAATTACTTGTATAACTGAGACATTGCAAAATGTTTTTTTTTTCAATGTAAATAAAGAGTTTTGAGTCTATGGTATTTAGCATTATTATTTTCCCAATAATCACGAAGTCAAAATTATTTGACGGCACGTCTATTACCTCATTAAACAATTTTTTAGAGAAAATGGCACGTTGGTGTATAAAGGTTCGCCATCCCTGGTCTATATCTACAGAAGACATGTATATGCTTATAGGAAACCATTAGCCAATGGGGTGCTTCTTAAAATTGCGTCGTGTTTAATTACCTCTTAATTTTGTTTTGTGAAATCTGAAATCTTAAAAAAATTAATTCAATAATTACTTATTTTATACGTTATTTTGCGCATTTTTCCTGAAATAATTTTATAACTTTAAATATATTAAAAATTATTACGTAGGTTGTTTCAAAAAAATAATAAAATGTATGAACGAAATATTAGAACATTATATGCGAGTATTTCTTGCAAGTGCCATTAATTTAAGCTTTAATTTTTCGATGAATTGTTACTATATAATTTCTTTTACGATTTTGGCTTTTTCAAACCCAGATTTTTTTACCCTTTCAGGATGATGATATACGTGATTGTTTGATTTTTTCTTGGGTCACGGTATCGTGACCTAAGATCATACGGGTGTAGTTTCTATTCAGTACTTTCATATTACATCTCGTGTTTGTATTATATACGTATCGTCTCGTATCATGTACGTACTCATAAGCACATATATTATAGGCACATATACGTACTATAGAGTACCTTCTCTATATTACATATACTCTTCAAATGAGCCGGGATAGCCAGGTTGGTCAGTGCGGCGCCCTCATGTTCAAGAGATCGAGAGTTCGATCCCAGGCGACGGTGTCACCGGGAGCGATGACTGGTGTACGTTAAATCTGTCGGGTAACAAACCCCTTTAACTTCCCATAACAAATCAATACCTCTGAGGGTACTGAATTGGAGATTGATCGCTCTCTGGTTCAGGTCAAAGTACGATCAGTGTATGAATGAATGGATGTATGAATGGGTCAGCTCTTTAAAATGATCTGTGACGAGCGTGTGGCTGAAGTCGTATTCTTGGCCATAGATGACACCATTGAAAAACAAGAAAGACACTCTCTGCCTTAAATTCGCTTGGTTTCACCAAGCAGGCTTGCTGATATTCGGCAAGGGGTATTAGAAACAACAACAACTCTCGGAGTGTGCGCACCTTGAAAAGCACTTCTTTCTGCAGATCCTGAAGGGGTTAATGGCAAGAGAAAACACACAGATTGGAAAAGAAAAGAAATCTTTTTGAACTCTTTTTTTTTTTCTTCATTTTTTTAGACATTTTAAAATATATTACTATCTTTTATTGAAAGTTAGAATTTCAATTTTGAAAATTGCTTACTAAACTAAGTTAAACGATTGATAAAGAAAAAAATATTGAAAATCCCGTTTATACAAAACTAAATTTTCAACGTTATAATACTTATTCGATGTTATGATATCGATTCGACAATAATACCTATTCGAGATTGTGATACCTATTTCGAGGTTATGATATTTATTTGAGGTTCTCAATCTGAGAAATAGGTTATAGTTTCTATTTTTCAGATTGGGTTGCACTAGAGAAAATATTTATTAAGAATCTTTAATAATGACCACCTTCCATAAATATTTTAGGAATTCTTTTCAAAAGTAATGGAAATAATTGTGTATATTAGAGACCTCAAATACATATTAAAGAAATTAAACTGTTTTCAAACTTTGACCAATCATAATTGAGATCAATTAAAAGGGATTTATTTTAAACCACTTTATTTAAAGATAAAGTCAAAAGTTCCCTGAGTGAAAAAATTATGAACTCTAGTCCAGCTCTACAAGTGAACTTTTTGATGATTTTAATGTCTTCTTTACTTGAACCCAGTAATGATAAGTCACAATTTGGAAACGTTTTTTCTCCTCACTAAAATATTAATTTTTGACCAGTAATGAGCACAATTATACTTGATTTTGTTTTTACAAGAAAAATAATTATTCAGGGGAAAAGCTACGAAATATCCTGTATCTAGTGAAAGTTCAGATACATACTTGTTCAAAGTTTTCATGTAAAACATTTTTAGACATCGTCAACATAATTTGTACTCTTAATATATTTGTTTCATATTTCTATAGCTCAGTCAAACTTTTTCTTATTTAAAAAAAAGTTTTTTTTTTTTACGAATTATCAACTGTAATCAATAAATGTAAGAAGAATTCTAATCGTTATACCCCTCTAAAACTTGTGGGAGCTAACTGCATTTAGTAATAAAGCATTTGTGTAATTTGACACTTTCAGTCCACTACTATTTTCTTAATTAATCAGATTTTTACATATTTTGTCATTAAACATGTTACGCAAATTTTATATTGAATCTGATATCTGTAATATGCATATTTTATTCTATGTTACTCAGTGTATAGGCTCTAATTATATCATTTCTGAAAAGACTTTTGAAAATATACTTACTACTTCATAAAGAGAACTTAAATATGAATTTTTGGAATCTTTATCAAACAGGGGAAAACATAAAGAGATGCACATAGGGAAGCACAAATAAGTATTTAAAATAAGTATTCAAAAACAAAAATGTTATCGAAATGTGATAAATTACAGCATAGAAAAGTGGACTTTAGGAGAAAAGACAGTTTTAATTGCGAGAGATGATTATTAAAAACATCTTTAAATTTCAAACTTAAAAAATTTCAACTTTCATGGGCAGAGACGCATAATCGTTTCGTTTTCTCTTTAAATACTCAATTTCGATTAACAGTTAATTTCGTTACGGTACAAAATGAAAAAAAAAGTTAAAAAAATAATATAAAATAAAATAAATAAATAAATAAAAATTATCCGAAATTTATCCGTTTATTAGCTATTATTCGCTATTTCCCAAGGAACAAATAGTTATTTTTATATACCGAACACTTTATTCACGTTAAAATATCGAAAAATATATTAAAAAAGTTATATATCAAAAATTACAAAAATTTGAAGGTCGACCCTCGCCGAGTTTCGAACCCAGGGTGTCTGGGACAACAAATCCAAATTACCCAAAGCGCTATCAACTTCGCCACGATTCACATGTCAGCCCCACGAATATTTAGCTTAAAACACCTCCACCCGGTTAGTCAACAAAACATATTTTGGGTCATCGTAGGCCCACTAAGTGGTCTATCAAAATTCCTTTGACACAATTGTTAGCTATATTAAACTCTAATTTTAGGAAAAAATTGAATTNAAAAAAAATAGTTATTTTTATATACCGAACATTTTATTCACGTTAAAATATTTAAAAATATATTAAAAAAGTTATACATGAAAAATTAAAAAAATTTGAAGGTCGACATCGCCGGATTCGAGCCCAGGATCTCCGGGACAACAAATCTAACTTGCCCAAGGCGCTATCAACTTCACCACGCTTCACATGCTTGCCTCACGAATATTTAGCTTAAAACACCTTGTCACGGTTAGTCAACAAAACATATTTTGGGTCATCGTGGGCCCACTAATTGGTCTATAAAAAATTCCTTTAATACAATTGTTAGTTGCATTAAACTCTAATTTCGGGCAAAAATTGAAATTTATAGGTTAATATTATAGGGAGTAACGGGTGTGATATGTGAGCTCCTCCTGATACGACTTTTGCCCCTTTTTAAGTCGTTATTTGCTCTTTAACAAAGAAAAATAATTATTTATAGATATATAACATTTTATTCTTTTTAAAATATTGAAAAACAAGTTAAAAAATAATATAAAATAAAGTAAATAAATAAATAAAAATTATCCGAAATTTATCCGTTTATTAGATATTATTCGCTCTTTTGCAAAAAAAAATGGTTATTTTTATATACCGAACATTTTATTCACGTTAAAATATCGAAAAATAAATTAAAAAAAATAATATAAATTAAATAAAAAAAATTTGAAAGTCGACTATCGCAGGGTTTCGAACCCAGATTTTCCGGGACAACAAATATAACTTGCTCAGTGCGCTATCAACTTCGCCACGCTTCACACGGCAGCCTCACGAATATTTAGCTTAAAACACCTCCCGGTTAGTCAACAAATTATATTTTGGGTCATCGTAAGCCCAGTAATTGTTCTATAAAAAATTCCCTTGGTACAATAGTTCGTTATATTAAACTCTAAGTTCGGTCCGAGTTTGAAGTTTATAGGTTAATATTATAGGGAGTTACGGAGTGTGATGTGTGCGGGCCTCCTGCTACGACTTTTGTCCCTTTTTAAGCCATTATTTGTTCTTTAACAAAGAAAAATAATTCTTTTCATATATAAAACACTTTATTCTTATTAAAATATTGAAAAACAAGTTAAAAGATAATATAAAATAAAACAAATAAATAAATAAGTATTTTCCGAAATTTATCCGTTTATTATCTATTATTCGCTATTCCCAAAGGAAAAGTAGTTATTTTTATGTATCAAATACTTTATTCACGTTAAAATATCGAAAAATATATTTAAAAAAATAATATAAAATAAATAAAAAACATTTGATAGTCGACCATCAAAGGGTTTCGAACCCAGATTTTCCGCGACAACAATTCTAACTTGCCCAACGCGCTATCAACTTCGCCACGCTTCACATGCCAGCCTCACGAATATTTTGCTTAAAACACGTCCTCCCGGTTAGTCAACAAAATACATTTTGGGTCATCGTGGGCCCACTAATTGGTTTATAGAAAATTCTATTGGTAGAATTGCTAGTTATATTAAACTCTAATTTCGGGCAAAAATTGAAATTTAAAGGTTAATATTATAGGGAGTTACGGGGTGAGATGTGTGCGTTCCTCCTAATGCGACTTTTGTCCCTTTTGAAGCCATTATTTGCTCTTTAACAGAGAAAATTAATTCTTTTTATACATAGAACACTTTATTCTTTTTAAAGAATTGAAAAGGAAGTTAAAAAAATAATATAATATAAAATAAATAAATAAATAAAAATTTATCCGAAATTTATCCGTTTATTAGCTATTATTCACTATTGCCCAAAGAAAAACAGTTTTTTTTTCATATACAGAACACTTTATTCACGTTAAAATAACAAAAAATATGTTTAAAAAAATAATATAAATAAAAAGAAAAAATTTGAATGTCGACCNATGAATTGATTCCTTAATCTTAGATTTTCATCACGTAGTTAAAAAGTTTTTCAGGGGACAAAATTAACTGCAAAAACTTTTTTTTAGAATAGAGAGATATAACACTTTATTCTTTTTAAAATATTGAAAAAAAAACAATATAATATAAAGAAAATAAATAAATAAGAATTATCCGAAATTTATCCATTTATTATCTATTATTCGTTATTTCCCAATGAAAAAATAGTTACTTTTATATACCAAACACTTTATTCACGTTAAAATATCAGAAAATATATTTAAAAAAGTTATATATGAAAAATTAAAAAAATTTGAAGGTCGACCCCCGCCGGGTTTCGAACCCAAGCTGTCCGGGACAACAAATCTAACTTGCCCAACGCGCTATCAACTTCGCCACGCTTCACACGGCTGCCTCACGAATATTTAGCTTAAAACACCTCCTCCCGGTTAGTCAACAAAACATATTTTGGGTCATCGTAGGCCCAGTAATTGTTCTATAAAAAATTCCCTTGGTACAATAGTTAGTTATATTAAACTCTAAGTGCGGTCCGAGTTTGAAATTTATAGGTTAATATTATAGGGAGTTACGGGGTGTTATGTGTGCTTTCCTCCTGATACGACTTTTGTCCCTTTTAAAGCCATTATTTGCTCTTTAACAAAGAAAAATAGTTATTTTTATATATAAAACACTTTATTCAATTTAAAATATTGAAAAAGAAATGATTAGTTGTCCATTAAACCGGTTTTGAAGTTTATTAAAATCCCTTTCCTCAACCTTAATTCGTCATATTTTGATAGCATTTTTATTTTTTCCTCGCTTAAATATTATTATGCAATCCCATATCAGAATACTTTCTTGTTTTCATTGTTCATAAAGATTTTAAAATATTTATATCACGTTTTTACGGAACTACCCGATAAATGAAATACAATATGAAAAGTATGAACACATTATTCTACTTAATATTATTAATTTAATAATTTCTCCGTTATATTTTTGAGACATATATTACTGTCTTGTAATTATTAATTAATTTATTTTCCTAAAATTTTATTTTCATAATTTCAGGTAGTTGTTATAGGCGCGGGAGCTGCTGGTTTATGTGCATTGAGACATTTACTGGCAGATCCCGAGCACTTTGATGTCGATATTTTTGAAAAAAAGCATTTCGTTGGAGGCATATGGAATTATTCAGATAAAGTAGGCCTTGATGAAAATACTTTGACCATTGAATCCAGTATTTATAAAAACCTAATGTAAGTATGCGATTTTAAAAATATTTTACGGATGTATTATTTTACTCCGTAGTTATTTTTTTTATGTAGAGCATATTACTAATAGCTTAAACATTATTTAATGTTTAAAAAACTTTGTGTTGAATTTACAGGTTTGTTATACAGTTGGAAAAAAGTAAAGATGGTGGGACAAAATAAATTTTGATTTTAGTGTCTTTGTGAAAAAACTAACCACACTTTTAAAAAAAAAATTTTTTTCGAATTTCCTATAAAAGTTATAAGTTTTTAAAGTAAATTCCGTTTTATCTGGTATTTGGTGGTACTGATGGAGTGAGATAAAGCTTTTACAAATGATACAACAGTCCATTATGCTGGGACGCAGGTGATAGAGTCCAATGAGGTGATTTAGGTCAGAATCCCAGCGACTGCTGGTCGATTCGAATTCTGCTTCGGTTTTGCACCAACCACAGTGATAGTGTAAAAAATTATCATTTGAGATAGACGGGTCATAAGTTAGAATCCATTTGCGGTTGGGCTAACCGTAGTGAGTTTTCGTGATTTTCCTCTAAATGCAGCGCGAATGTGGGATAGTTTCATCAAATAGTCTTCCAGGAAGGCATGAAATGTCCAATGCTTGATTCAGAAGTTCTTTAGTCTTCTGGGCTAGGGCAAAAACTCCAAGTATACGGAGTTGAACAGTAACAGCCGTAATGTTGAACAGCCGTTCAACTCCGGTTGTAAAATAAAATAAACACTCTGTGAAACCACTCACAACAGAACCTAATGGCTAAATCTGAAAATAGCATTTTTATGAATAAAGCAAACAGCTTGCATGAATAATGAAATCACAAATAATGCCAGGAAGAAAACACACTGCAGTTTCAGTTCTATAATTAAGAAAATTCCTTCGTGTTTTTAACGCACGAACACTTGTTTTCTGTATGAAAACAGCTATGAAGCTCTTGATTATAAAACCGAAACTATAATATTTTTAAGACTTTATTTATTTTTTATTTTTTTAATTTCATTTATTTATTCAACGTTGCCAAGCTTTACACTGTCTTCTATAATACTTTCACGTATATGCGGATCGTAATATTCAATGGCCATGATAGTCAAAGAAATTCTAACAACCAAAACTCAGTTAAATTTAAATTTTTTGAAATTTTAACGGTCACATTGTTAGGTTACAAGTGTGTGATGACCTAATTGGTGATTAATCTTTAAAAAAGAAAAACTGACATAAGTTAAGCCAATCCCGTGTTATCTATCGTTTATTTTAAGTAATTTCGCTGACGAATTGAGCACCAAAATAATGTTTACAATTTTCAATGTTTTTTATGTATATATAATTGAATCATTTTGATGCTAAAAAGAAAGCAAGATTAAAAATAGATTTTGACACTTAATTGAATAATCTTGAATAGTAATGCATTACGCAATTAAATTGAATATAAGTGAGACGTTACATTTATTGAGAAATGTGAAAAGAGTGGAAATATTTACACCAAAGAGCCATTACATTATAACCCCCTCCATCTATAACAATAGGCTCGCCCAGGTTTCCTTGATTTCTTACCCAGGAACAATGCTTTCATGGGGCACATTAGGACCCATAATCCTCATCGAACAATCCCTGACGTCTGTAAGCTACTTGAACATAGTTGCTGACCAGGTTCACCCATTCAGGGCAACAGTTTTTCCTGCGGGGGATGGTGTTTACCAACAGGATAATGCACCATCTCATAAGGGTCGAATCGTTATGACATTCCAGTGACTTTCAAGTCATGTCATGGCCCCCAAATTCACCTGACCTTAATCCAATAGAGCATTTGTGGTCCTACTTGGAAAACTAAATTTGTGCTGCCACGCTACCCCCTCACAATGTGAGGGAATTGCAGGACCAGTTGGTGAGCGCTTTTTACCAGGTACCTCAGACTACCTATCAGCACCTTGTGGAATCAATGCCATGGCGGGTGCTTGTAGTTTTGAGGACTAAAGGTGGTGTTACATGTTATTAGCAGGGTGGTCATAATGCAATGGCTCTTCGGTGTATATCCATTCATTGTGAAAATGAATAAAAATAACTTAATTGTTTTAGTCAATCAAAAAAGGATAAGGAATGATTAAAAATGGCTATGAATTTTACAAAGGAAATTAAAAATATAGGAAGTACAAAATGCCTATAATGGCATGACATGGATATTGTTTCTAAACTGTGACTCCTCTTGATTTTTTACCAAACCAAAAGTAACAGTGGACAGACAGGGGAGGGGAGGGAAGGTGGAATAAACTGATAATTGATATAGTCTGCAGCGTCTATCAGCGTTTCAGCCCAAACTGATGTTACGAATAGAGCAAGAGTTAATATAAAATTTCTTGGATTTTTTTTTTAAAAAATCCTGCCAATATAATTCTGCAGTCATTTTTTTTCAAAAAGTAATTTAGTTCGGGAACTTTTGGATTTTTCAATACTATATTTGCTTTCGAGCAATTTGCAACAAAACTATATTTCAGGTCATCCAAATCATCAGCTTTTACGAGTTTAAACAAAAATTAATGTAAATTTAAATAAATAAAAACGTATGTATATAAACAAAAGCAAGTATATATAATTAGTCTATAGGTGAAAAATTATATGATCTCGTAATTTTATTGCTTTAAACTTTTGACAAAAAGTCCTCAGAAGTTATAAACGTTATCAAGTGATACGTGGTGCCGAACTATAAAAGTGCAGCGAGTGTTAAATTAATGCTAGATCACCAAAAATTCTTTAAGGAAAAAAATCAGGCAACGGAAATAAAAAATGTTACTTTAATTTTAAGATTACAACGAAAAGAAGTATTAAATCTATATTGAGCTTTTCAGATAAGGAATGATTAAAAAGCAGTTATTATTATCAACTAGAAATTCAAATGGAAACTTTCTCAAAAGTGTTAAATTTAATTCACATGACATTATTATATCTAAGCATTAAAAATGAGAATCAGATGTCACAGCTTTGTTAATTCTTTTCAGAACAAATATTCCGAAGGAGACAATGGCTTTTCCAGATTTTCCATTTCCGCACTATGGGGGTTTGTCTTATATTCACCACACGCAAGTGCTGCAGTATTTACGAGATTATGCGGAGTACTTTGACCTATATAAACATATTAAGGTAAATAAAATAATGTTAAATAATAATTATTTTACATACATTATTTAACATTATTTTTTTCTTTTCATACATTTACGCACATAATTCAAATACCTTGGAACAATGATCAATGACCAAAACAGCATAAAAACAGAAGTAGACAACCGAATTAAAATGGCAAACAAGTGTTTCTTTGGACTAAGAAAGCAATTAAGATCAAGCCTAATCAGTCGAAAAACCAAAATTAAAATTTATAAGACTCTTATTCTACCTGCAATGCTCTATGCAAGTGAAACATGGACACTAAACGCAGACACTCAGCGTACTCCTGGTGTTTTTGAAAGGAAAATCCTTAGAAATATTTTTGGCCCAGTACAGGAAAGAGGCTGTTGGTGAATCAGATACAACTTTGAATTATATAGACTCTATGGGCAGCCACAAATAGTGCAGGTCATCCGAAGCAATAGATTAAGATGGCTTGGCCATATCTGGAGAAGTCCAGAAAACAATGCAGTACGAATCGCCACCTTTAAAAATCCTTCTGGATCTCGGGCCAGAGGAAGACCTCCAACTAGATGGCTGGATGACACGACTAAAGATCTCAAAGTAATAAAGATTAACATCTGGAAAAAAGTCGCCATGGATAGGAGGCGTTGGAGGCTACGCGTGGTTGAAGCAGCCAAGGTCTGTAAGGGGCTGTCGTGCTGAAGAAGAAGAAGATTTAATAACTATTTTACATACACATAAATAATTATTCAAAGAAAAAAGAATTGAGGAGTCATGCTGTATTTCATTTATTAGAATTTTAACGGTGCCGAAGAAAGAAACTTATAAATTGCGTTGCATCATTATATATATTTTTTTAATTAATTAGGCATTAAACATTGTTTTTTTTAGTTATTTATTTTTTTAAAATGAAATTAAAAATGTTCCTTCTCCCGAAGAAGAGACTAACGTTTTTGAGCATCGACTATTCTTCTTCCCAGGTTACGATTGGACCAGCTTTCTTAACGCTTTTGATCTAGTTCACGATAAAGAAATGTCCGGTTGTGGCGCTTTTCCGAAAGATTATGTGACCGAATTATGCAGATTGCGAGTTTTTAACGTTGTTTCGGTTAAAGCGTTTTTCGTGATGTTTTTCCTGATGTGTGTTTTCTTAAAACACGTTGGCTGTTAAACGTATTTTTTAAATCGATGTTTTTCTAAGACGCAGTGAGCAAGCAAGTGCGTCTTTTCATTCAATAAATAAACTGGATGAGAGTATTTTATTTTCTCGATAATGATTTAAAATAGTAATATGATTGCACTTTTCCCTTCACTTAAATAATTTTTAAGATGTGTAAATTCTAATAACTTCATTTTTACTAAAAATTTTAAAAGTAAAAATTGCTTCTTTGTTGTGGCAGAATCTAAACTATATCTAATCTCATGTTCGCAGTTTCACAAGATGGTTGAGCATGTTAAGCCATTAACGTGTTTAGGTGGCAAAGTGGAATGGCGCGTCACTTATTCTGATGTTCTGACAAAAGAAAAGGAGGATAAAATGTATGATGCAGTGATGGTATGCAACGGGTGAGTTCCTTTTTACCTAGGAGAAGGCGTAGTACCTAGAGACAGTTAGTAAACAATTATTTTTATTTCTACTTGGGTAAAGATTATGGCTGAAATGTAAATAATATCTTATTTCTTACTATTTGAAGAATCTATAAACACTTTCAAAATATGTTATTTTATAAGAGAGAAATAAATTATTTTTTTACACCCTTCCAACGTATCTCAAGGTGCAACACCATGTTGTATTTTGGGATGAAGATTATTTTACATTGGCACTAAATGAAAACTAAGCAAATTATAGCAAATACAACACAAAACATTATTAACAAAATAAAAAAGACTTCTTTATCTACCAGGTTAGTCCATGGACTAAAATTCATATGGAATGCACTATGCACGAAAATTCATATGGAACTTGCGTGATTACTTCTGACGCATTGCAGACCCAGTTGGTGAGGGTGAAGGCAATTACCATATAATTTCTGTATATGAGCAATTCTACAAATAAACGCCAGTTAGGCGGCAAAAAAAAATTAAAAAAATTTTGGGGGGCACACTATTTCTACATGAATTTTCTTCTTCTTTACACCCTAGAAAGGCAAGAAAANAATTTTTTTTGGGGGGGGGGGGGCACGCTATTTCTACATAAATTTTCTTCTTTTTTATACCCTAAAAAAGCAAGAAAAAATATAAAACATGAAATTTTTTCTTTGTGACATACTTTAAATGACAAAATACCAATTTTGAATTTTTCCCGATTTTTTCAATTTACGAACTTTGATTAAATTCTTTTATTTTTGTTTTTCATACTAAAATATAATCTTATAGTATGAAATCTCTATAAATACATATTAGAGAGACATTATAATAATATTATATTTATGTAAAAATCGTTTTATCTGAATAAACGGCTCAGATTTATCTGAGTATGTCAGAAAGAGTATGTCACATTTAAAGTATGTCACAAAGAAAAAATTTCATGTTCATGATTTTTTCTCGCCTTTTTAGGGTGAAAAGAAGAAGAAAATTCATGTAGAAATAGTGTGCCTCCCAAATTTTTTTTTTTTTTGGCCGCCTAACTGGCGTTTATTTGTAGAATTGCTCATATAGTTTCATTTCTTAAAAGTATTCTTAATTTTCATTTTAAACTTAATTTTCTTAATTAAAAAGTAACTTAATTTTCATTTTAACAAGGTATTGCATTCCTCCGAACTGCAGTTCAGCCACTACATTTAAGAAATCAAAAACATGGCCAGTAAAATTGTTTGCGGATAGTTGTTCAGATTCAATAACTATACCATTAAATAAAACATTATTAAGAGTTTAATACACTATCTTAATTTTTAGCATTAATCAATTTAAAAAATAGAAAAAAAATAAAGGAACTATGCGATGAAATTTTTTCCTTTTATTTTCTATCTCCCACATGTCTCACTTTAAAGTTGCTAGCTACTCTATTCTAACTCCTGGTGACTAAAGGAGCAACTGCCTCAGGTTAGTTTTGTTAGTCACGAATTGATGGCAGGGCTATGTTGTTCGTCCTAATGTACAACGCTCTCCCCTATTTTTTGAAAAGTGTAAAGAGACCGAAACTAATTCTCTCAATTGGCACAAGGTTCATTTCTTTTTCACAAATCACGGAATCACATTCGGCGTAATATGTGGCAACTGACAGCATTTTATTGAATCCTTGTTGTTGTTGCTGTCATAGGATATTAAGGCAGGGGTGCGATTGCTCTTGTTTTTCAGTGGTGCCATCTATGACCAAGAATTTGACTTCTGCCTCAACCATACGTCACACCTGTTCATAGAGCGAACCCATTCATACATCCATTCATTCATCCACAGATCGTAATTTTGACCTGAATTGATAAATCTCTGATTTAGTACCCACAGAGGTATAATTTGGTGCGGAAACATGGAGGACTTTGCGACCCGACAGATTTAACTTTCACCAGTCACCATTTACTACACTGGGAGTCTTCTACTTGCTGGATTCGAACTCCCGTTCTCATGAACGTGAGCCCAGAGCCCTGCCAACCAGGCTATCCCGGCTTTATTGTATCGTTATTTTGGTGATATAATTTAATGTATCCTAGGAGACTTTAAATCCGCTCCTCGCAATAGAATTTATCAATCATTTGCTTATAGCAAACCGAGGAGGTTATTCAAGTACATTTCATAAATGAATCATGTTTTTACAGGATACTATATGCGAAAAGGTTGCTGTGACTATGCCGTTTCCTTTGTTGTCCCCTCTATTATTTTGTAATTATTAACAGCAGCAGCTTCCCTTATGATTTTTAGTTTACTTTTAAAGTTAGAAAATCTCCTTCTTGACTCTGAGTGAACTTAAGCTCAAAAAAAAAATGTAATTGGAAAAAATGTACAAATTGTGTACTTTTCTTCTAATTTTTCAAAGCAGACCATTATGGATTTCAGTGCGATATCAATATTGTACATCAATTTATATATTTACAATATTTTGTAATTATCAAGTCGGCAATTAATTCTGAATAGCAGGAAAGGCAAATTATTTTAACGTATAAAAACATTAGCTAAATTTGACTCCAAAATTAGTTTCAAAAATAAATCATCCAAAGGTAGAAAACTTCCCTTAGATGTTTGAAGTGTATCAACCACTGGAAAGTTTTAAAGAAAGAAAGTTAAAACAAAAATTCGAAAAAGATTTATTAATGACTTCTGCTTTCACCCTATAGTTCTCATTTATAAATTATATTAAGTTATCTTTTTTAAGCTTTATAAATTTCATTTTCCAAACATTATAATTCGATAAAAAGAAACTCTAAATAAATTAAGCAAATTTGTTGCAATTTGCTAATGGTAATGGACTGTTGTAATCACTAAAATTTGATTTTTCTTTTACAAAAGTACTTTTTTAGATTCTTTTTCAATTACGAAAAAATCGGATAAACAGCAGTCAAAAAGGGAATAAATTTGTCTCAAGTAATAAAAAAACTTGAAAACTGATAGGCTCATGTAAAACCTGAGAAATAAAAGCATGGCCGAAACTACCAGACTGTGGTAAAATTTATCGGGTTTCTGCCTCTATAGGAACACCAAAATGCTCGTAATTTTTAGCGAAGCGTTTTGATAATGATTTTAGTAAAATTAACAATAAAATATTGTTTTATAATATGTGGTAAATGTGGTAAAAATTCGTAATTTTATCATATGTTAGAACTTGACATAAACACTATTTATTAAGATAAATTTACTTTTCAGTTCCGTGTTTTTAACTAAATGTGTGGTAATAAAAACTGTAATTTTGAAAACCAGAATTTCCGATAAACCGTTACCATATGAACGAAACAATTACCAAATGAATGGTTTAAATACAACATATTTTAATTTTTGTTAGCAAGATTTAAGAAGTTCTTTCTTTTTCTTTTTTTTTTTTTTTTGCCAGAAATGTCATTATCATACAGCACAGTAATTCTATCAAAATTTTTTTCTCCGTGTAAATTTTATGTAAATAAAAGGAAATAAAAGATAATCCGAAAGTCTTGTTAATTGCTTTCGTTTTTAATAACGCCATCTCATTTTTGAAAATAACTAAATAAATTAAAAAACCATTTTTTTTTCTATATACAGGGTGTTCATAAAGTTCCGGACCCCCACACGATCCTCCTGTAAACATTTTCCTTTATAAATCCCCAAAGAAAAAAGTCCAGCTGCATTATATCAAGTGATCTGAATAGGCCAAGGAATTGAACCTCCTCGCCCAATCCATCTTCCTGGAAAATGGTCATTCAAAGAACTACTAACGATGATACCCCAATGAGGTGGTGCACCATCTTGTTGCAAAAAGACATGTGGCTGAAGCTCTTCTAATTGTAGAAATACGAAGTCTTCCAATATGTNCAAAAAGACATGTGGCTGAAGCTCTTCTAGTTGTAGAAATACGAAGTTTTCCAATATGTCTATATACGACTGATGAGACCGACGACTGATGAGACAGGAAGATGGATTGGGCGAGGAAGTCCAATTCCTTGTCCACCCAGATCACCTGATATAACGCCGCTGGACATTTTTCTTTGGGGATTTACAAAGGACAATGTTTACAGGAGGATCGTGTCGAACATTGATGACCTAAAAGCCAGAATTACAACCGCAATACCCTCTGTGGATGCTGACATGCTTGCCGCTACCTGGCGTGAAATTGACTATCGACTTGATATTCTCCGTGCGACGAAGGGGGCACACGTGGAAGTTCATTGACAAGGGTCATGAAACTTTTTGAGTCTATCTAACCATTTATGTTATTAATTTTAATCTATCTTTATTATTTTACGAGTTATTAAACATCAAAATGGGTCCGTGACTTTATAAACACCCTGTATATATTTTCAAGCTAGTCCTCCTCTCAAAAGAATGTGAAAAAATTTACGGACAAAATATGTTTGACTGCTTAATTCTTCTAGTTTATTTTTGAAAGTTTGTAAATATGTATAACAAATAGGTTCTCTTTCAGCTGTCAGAATGTGCCTAATGTACCAGAAATACCTGGTCTCAACGATTTTCAAGGAATTCTGATGCACAGTCACGCTTACAGAGAAAATGCTCCCTTCAAAGATTTGAAAGTAGTAATTTTAGGAGCTAGCTTCTCTGGGGTAGACATCAGCTTAGAAATTGCGAATGTGGCGAAAATGGTTAGTTTGGTACATTCTGTTTAGTGTTTTTGTTTGGCATTAATTTCTTTTAAAAATCATGATCATGTTAAATCAATAAATTTCGTTAAAATTAGATTAATAATTATTAGACAACGTTATTGTGACCAGATTGAACTTGAGAATCCGGAATAGCTATCGTCAGATCAGGAATTTATTATCTAAAGAATTTTATTTTGTGTTTAAATTTAAAAAGTTTACACTAAAAAATAATAAATAAATAAACCTAAGCAAATTTCGCTTGAAGCTTTGCCTCATATATCGTATTCTCCGAACTTTTCCGTGTAAATTACTATTACTTCAAACTTTTAAAAAACGTATGTCTAAAGCATAAAATCATTGAGTTGACAAAAGAAGTTTCAAAACATTTTTTTTATTTATTGACTTTACGTAAAAGCATTCAGGTTGAGCATCAAAAGCATTGATTCAGGTTTCACCACGGTTACAGTTTAGTGCAGTTTTGAAATCGAACTTAACGTTTTTTATTAATTTTAAAAGTCATCTGATATCAACTTTCGTAATCAATTTTGAAAATTATGTATGGAATGTTTACAAATTTTATGATCAATACACTGTTTATTTAATATTTTTATCACAAATTGTTATAGAGTTATTTAGTTTGGAAATCGGGTGTTCCTTCGCAGGACGCAACAACCACAGTACATTAATATTCCTTTTCAGGTCATTTGGAGCCACAATTCGAAACCCAAAACATGTCCTTTGCCTAAGAATATCATTCAACTTAAAGGAATAGACCACGTCAATAAGACATCCGTAACACTTATTGATGGACAGACCCAGGAATGCGACGCCATCATCTTGTGTACTGGTTATCTGGTAAATTATCCTTTCCTGGACCCCAGCTGCAGTCTCCAGGTTCAAGACCAGAGAGTGACACCACTTTACTTTCACACATTTCTCATTGACTATCCTACCTTGGCAATATTGGCCGTGACCAAATATGTCCTCCCGTTCCCTGTCTTCGACCAGCAAGTGAGAGTCTTTTTGAAATTTCTGAAAGGTGACGTAACGTTTCCGTCTCCTGACGAGATGAGGGAAGAAGAAGAAAAAGATTTCAAAAGAAGGCTGGACATAGGTCTTAAGCCGAGTCATGCTCATGATTTTCTCAATGATCGTTTGTGGAAGTTTGATGATGAATTTTGTAAGCTCGGTCAAATTGCTCCTACTCCTAATAGTATTCGAAATTTGGTTAATGAAGTAATGAAAGAAATGAATGAAAACTTGATGCATTTTAAAGAAAAAAAGTACAGAGTTGTAGACAGCGAAACATTTCTTCAAGTGGATTGAAATTTAAAGTAGAAAGGTTTTCGTATCCTGGGCAAAATGGTCGCCAAATATTAGTCACAACCAGGCAATGGCACGAAAGAAACTAAAAAATAAATAAATTACAAAATCGGTCAAACTCGAAGAATAAAATTCAAACCTCTTGGCAAGCTACTATATAGCTTAAAATAATTTGAGTCCAAATACAAGAATCAGACAGTTTCACTTTATGTATTGACAATATCTGTTAAAGAAATTAGATACCAACAAGAAAACCTCCATATTTGTCACATTGATTCAAGTTCAAGTTCCTGAGTTGTGGTTTGTTTGTTCGGTCGCATCATAAGCTATGATGAATGATCAAGATGTAATTTCTTTTGCATAGCACTGTGTGTGCATGTTGTTATTTCCTCAAGCTGTATTTTTAATAAACTCTTTATTTGCCGGCGTTGCTTCTGTGGTTCTTCAACAAAACAACATGATTATTAGTGTATCTTAGATGTGTTTTGCAAACTTAAACAATATATGAGAAAATTAACCTGTCTTTGTTATGGCCCCTCAAGTTACTGCGCAACAATATTCTAAACCCCAATTGAGACCTGTGTGCTATATTTTAACTAATACACTGATGAAAATTCCGAGCCACATTGCACCAAAAATTGATATTTATTTCCTGGCGACATAAAATGGAACTCAATTTTACCATATTTTAGTGTTTTCGTAGATTGTACAAGAAGTAGAAGATTGTACCAAAAGTAGGTATTTTGAAGAAACAAAACACCAATCTTCATTCATTCTTTCTTTCTTTCTTTTTTCTTTTATGCGAACAGAGGAGAATTGCCCCATTAGGTATTTTAAAAGAGCTCAAATACAAGCCAAGGTTGCTATTTACCGTAAAAAAGATATTTACCATAAGTAGGTTATTTTATGACAAATCTCTAACCAATTAATTGCAGAAATTTTTTTTAACAATCAACTCATAAATGTCCTTTAAAATAAGATTACTATTAAATTGTACGATACAGTTATGAATAATATATATACTAGGAGGCTTCGCCCCCTGCTCGCTGGCGCTCACCAACTCCCGGAACTGCTTTCGCAGTTCATTTCGGATTGCTTCGCAATCCAATGCTCGCTTTGCTCGCTCATTGGATACGTTCTTAACGTCTAGTTTTTGTATACTTTTTTGAATACTGAAGTTCCGAAAACTTTTCACTGTAGAAAATTCTAAACTTGTACATTTCAATATTAATTTGAAATTGCGAACAGTTCGCATATTTTTCTTAATCACACTATTCTAAATTTCNTATATATATATATATATGTACTTGAGTGATATGATATGTAATCAAAAGAATCTCAAACAACTTTGTAATAGCGTCTGTTATTTTAGTAATGTAAATATAACTTCTTCTCTCGCATTCTTTTTAAAATTTTTAACCACAAAGAACACAGCAAAATTTTTCCGAAAGGAAAGTTCAGGGTCTTCTTTCAACAAAGCTTCCAGAGAAATAATACTTTCACTTTATTACTGAAACGCAACAGATGGATACTATTTACAAAGCCTTTTATAGCCATATCCCATTCCGCGAATTGAATTACAGAACAGCAGAGAAAAAGGTAATTTGTTGCGGGTATAAAATAAATCAATTTATACCCATTAAGTTAAAGGATACATAATGGAAAAGTATCCTTAATGGAAGAGAGGTATACAAGGGAAGAAAATCATTAAAGTGGTCATAAAAATACATGTTTTATGATATTTTTTTCCGTTCTGGGTCGTAAAATGTGGAATGTTCGTTGTGAGAGGGTCTGTCTTTATGCTCTCTCAGTTCTGAATATGTTTAGAAACTCGCTCTGCTTATTGGAGGCTTCAGGGATTGCATCAACATATTACAGAACTGAAAGACCAACCAGAATGAATTTGGACCAAGTATCTGATACAGAATTGAAAACTTCGTGTGGGGTTTCGTTTCAAAGCTATTCATGTTCTGCTAGAAAAATCTGATTGGGGTTTTAAAAGTTTAAACATAAAATATTTAAAGTAGTATTCCACTAATTGAATTATTGTGTAGAAATATTTTTCGCTAGATGTAGAAAATGCAAGCAATTGATATTATATGTACAGAAGGAAGAATTATCATTGGAAATTTTGGAGCTTATGGAACCGTAACTCAAATCTGCTACAAGCTTAATACGGTGCAGAATAGATAAATTTATTTGTTTTAATCTCCTATATTGTAACGGAGCTTAAATTCTGACTCAAATTGTTCTGCAATAGTTTGGACTAAATGGAAATCAACATAATTGACAATCTACATTTAGTTTTCTTTTTGTATGGAGTTTCAAGTTTTTGAATGGTTTTGTAGTGAGCATTTTTTAAATAAACAAAATTTATTGAACAAAACCAAAATTCAATTTAATTTTAAAAATATTCAAATAAGACTTTTTTCGTTAGTTGTCAAATACGATTCACTACAAAATTATGAATTTAAAAAAACGTAAATTTTTTCGTCCATGCACAGTACAAGAGAACTACTTTAAATACTCATATCTTGAGTAGTTTTAAGCGAACTTTTTTCAAATTTTAAAATAAAATTTTTGTATTTAATCTTAAATTGCTCCAAAGAGTTTGATTCATTTTACTTAATATTTTTGAAATTATATAAAAAAAAATCGTAAGACAAAAAAAATTAATCTTTTATAAAAATGTCCCGATCTTTATAAATATTTAAGCTAGGTTTACGAAATTTAATGTAGTATTTGCAAATAAAAACCGAAGTAATCGATAAAAGTTACAAGTTTGTTGCTTGATTTTCTGGCATAGGGTGTTAAAAATACTAGTTTTCTTTTATTATTTATTGTCAGTCTCTCAAACCTCTGAGAGCTTTAAATCTTATTGCTAATTTTGAAAAATCGCATGAACTAAACAACTCTAAAGTTACAAAATAATCCTTTTTCTAAAAAATTTAGAAAAACGTCAAAAACTGAAAGTGTATTATTGTAGGGCAGTGTATATATATAGTATTAATATAAATATATCTGTTTTGCACTTATATGGTATAAAGGAGAAAATAATACTTATAGGACCATAAGTACCAAAGTACCATAGTACCAAAGTGTGGGTAAAAAGGAGAAAAATACTGTCTGATTTTCATAAAGACAGGAAAGAATGGTCAATATCGTCTATATAAATTTATACAATGTACGTTTTAAAGTAGAATATGCTTTTGGAGATGGCAACGAAATAGTTTACATGTTAAATAGTTTAGAAGCTAAGAAGTTTATTTGTTAAAAGGAGGAATTTCGTAAATATTATTCGGTTTTCTTCTTTTGGTGCATTCCTTTTTAAATAGCAGGTAGTTTTGCTTTGGTGTACAAAAACTTAAAATAAGGAAACATGCATTTTGGCATAGAGGAAGTAAGTTAACGTTTCTAAAAATGTAAGTGTTTTTATGCTGAATTTTTAAAACTTTAAAGCATTTGTTTTATGAATGAAGATACATGAAAATATGAAGAGACGAAATAGGAATAAAAATTTTTTTTAAATCACCATCCCAGATAAATATTTTGCAAGAGCACTCAACCAACTAAATTGACCAACAAATTTCATTTAGCCTAATGATTAGGTTATAGGGATGAGTTGTGCATCTGTATATGCTTCTACTATTAGTAATTTCCTTTGGTATGGTACTATAAGTATGTTATAATATAGCACATGACCAAGTTTGAATATTAAGGTTAATATTAAGGGGAGATATAAAACCATGTATATACATAGTACATGAGCAACAATTTCTCCATTTTAATGGTTTAAAGCACAATTAGAAATATTAATAATTTTTATTAATGGCAACTTTGTATTTTAATATATATTATCATGACTATCAGTAGGAGATTTGAACGAAGTCTTTTAAAAAGTGTTCGGTTCGACTTCTTTCTAGGATTTTGTGTAATTATTAAAATATTCAATGACATTTAAATTATTAAAATATTATTAGTAATTATTAAAATATTATTTAGTATTTAGTAATTATTATTAAAATATTCAATGACTTTTTGACATTGAAAGGAAACAATCTTAGATAAGATACAAATTTATACCTTTGATTTCTTAAAACATTGCAAACCGTTATACTTTTTTGTACAAAACCTCTGCTTAAATGAATTTAGTTTCCTCTAGTATCAAAAATGTTTGTCGTAATCACCATAATCATCAACTTGTACTTTTTTTTATGTCACTCCAAATATTATAAATACGCTTTGAGTAAAAAGGTACATAGCACCGTGAGTGCAGCAGCATACGTAAAACACACTTTTACCGTAAGATTTTATACTGTAATTTTTACAGCAATGTTTATTTAATTAGGAGACTTAGCAGTAAATATTGCTGAAAAAATTGTATTAAAATAGATTTTTTTGTTTCGTAAAATTTTACTGTAAAAATGAATTTTATGATAAAAAATACAAGAAAATTACTAAGCTAGATTTCGATGAATTTTTCTAATTACTGTAAGGACTGCTATATTTATTAGACTCAGTATACTCTTTTTAATATCTTAGATGAAATATAATCAAATAAATCTTACATTCAGATGCATTTTCTTTCTAAATATATTTGCATCAGAATTAAGAGTGTATTCAAAGCTTTCAGATGCGCATTTATAGTGTGATTCGAGATGCATTTGCATTAAGAGTTTCGATGCATTTAAGTAACTAAATGTTAACAACAATTAAAAAGCTTTAGTTTGCTTTAAGAATTCTTGATTATGACTTATTTTATATGGCTTCTTAAGTAACTTGTGGCTCATTATACTAAAATTTAAAATATGGACACAAAAAAAAATTTTCTCTAAAGAAAAAAAGTCAATTTTTATTAAGCTTTGCATTTAGAAAAGGCCGCTTAATTTATCAGTAAGACCAGCAACAAATTTTTCTGAAAACTGAAGTTTATTAAAATTAATTGTGAAAAAATATATAAGTGAGTGTATACTATTCTGTCACTGCATTTTACGTTTTCTCATAATTTAATTTTTTCAGATACCGATTTAAATAATAACTCAAACTTTCCTTCAATTTATATAATTGGCTAATAAGGGTAAAAAATAGTAATAATAAAATAAATAAATAAAATTGAATAAGATTAGTGAGACTAATATAGTATAGTAATAATATATTTCGGTAATCAAACAGACTAGTGAGGCTATAATTTCGTAGAGCTCAACAACTGTAAAAAATTCGGGATCAAATTACAGTAAAAATGACCAACATTCAGTACTCTTTACCATATAATTTTACAGAACAAAAAATCTGATGCACCATAATCTTTACAGTAATATTTACTGTAATTGTATGTAAGGTTGCTGCACTCGCAGTGCCAGTTTTTTTTTTATCTTAATTTTATCCGCAATTATTTGCAGTGTATATCATTGAAGGCAGTTTTGGTGG